AAAGAGTCCGCTTTCCCCCCCCCCAATTGCTCTCACATAGCCACGTGCATACAACCACTAACAGGAAAATCCTACTCACTGCCTTCTCGCACCACGGGTGTTGTTCACGAAATTGAGAGGACGTAAAGCGAATGTCCGGTGCTTTAACCGGGTTGGTGGACACGAAGAGTCCACCTAGGGTAGTTGGAAAACTCTCATTCCAAATCAATGGTGCACATGGGCTCCAGTATTGTCCTAAAGGAACAAATGGCGTATGAAGCAATTATTTGTGACCAGCTACCATGGGAGTGCATCTCCTGACGTTGCTCCACTACCTTGTGGATCAGTCTTTTAGGTCAAAGGCTCTGGTTGTTGTCCCTCATAAAGCCACCTGTTTCGGTTTGGGCACTCAGGTATTATCATAGCCCATACACAAACCAAGTGACTTGTGTGTCGCATATGTATTCGGCACCTCTTTGTACCATTATCTATATGTTCAAATAAATGAAATAACCTACAGTACTAAAAACTTAACAGAACATAAAATCAGTTTTGTCGAGATACTATTCAAAAGAATCAAAACCCACTTTAAAACTCTTACAACAGAAAAATAATTAAAAAAACCTCGTCTTCAGTTCATCTTTCGTAAGGATGGCTACCTCATACAATTCTGTTAACATACCAACAAAAACCAACGAAACAGATAGTCCCATCATTTATAAAAAAATATTTCAGAAACTATTACTACGTTTCGGTAGCTGTTTGGAATTAACATTGCTCACAAACCAACACAGCCATTTTATTCTAATATATGCATATCAAAGGATAAGACCAACTAAGAAAAATCTTACATTATACAGAGTGGACGCCTCCATACTAAGTATAGATGAACATGGATTACCAGTGAGGTAACATGATATGCTATCACTTATATCAGTGCAGGTTGGCAGCCATACATATGAATTTGATTGTATAAACATCGAAATTCTGGATCGAGGAAGCTCTAAAGCTACCAAGGAATTTACGGGAGCATGGCGTACTAAACAATTTGCTATTAGTAGGCACACTGACATAGACCTAATCTATAGATCCATAAGAAGGAGGTCAATCAATCACAAGTTCAGACGTCAGTTAACGAAGACAACCAACTTGAATTCATGGACAAATGAAGACAATAAAATCCTCGGAGACAACCGATCACAAACACTTATCGAATAGCTGAGAAGCTTATTTCTACACAAGGCAGGAACTGAATAGGTTTTTCAGAATAACAATAAAAGGTCAAAGAATACAACACCAAAAACATTTCACACTATTCTTATTATTACTAAGACTATGGTCTTTTAGGTAATGGAAGTCATATGATTATTTAAGAAGTTAGATATCACGGGACTTTTGAATATACCAACCTGTTACTAAGTAACCGTAATATAATAGAACTTGTTTAAACTAAATATATGAATATCAGTATAGGGTTTTAGGGATTATTAAGTTTTTGATTGAGAACATGAACCCATTGATGTTAGACCAACACTGGAAACCTTAAAGCACTGGACGGCCGCTTCGTCCCATTGTGGGACTTCTCAGCAATGCGCATCCACCATCCCGCTTTTTATATAGGCATCCAACAGTGTTGTTGAACACATATTGTATTGTGGTGTGTGCTACTTATGTCGACATATATAAGTAGTACGTAACGCCAATTTGAAAGTGGAATGCCTGGCAGCAGAAAGTTGTGAAAACCGAATAGAAGAGAATGGAAATAGGGAGTGATTGGTATGAAAATGAAAGAACAAAAAAGTTCGAGACAATTGCTGAACATTTTGCAAGTGAATTATTGAACGTATGGTATTTACAAAATAACTGTAATCATATAATGACCAATATCTTTAGAAGACCCGTTGAGTACATTTGAATATGCTATGTGAAATAGTCGATATTTTATTGATCCAAAAATAAGTTTAGATAGGAGGTTTTATGACGGTTATCCAATTTGTAGTTAGCTAATCACTCATAATCAATTATTAGGAATAAATAAAGTAGGCAATGGTTACTTAATCAATATAACATGAGTAGAAATAATATTTGGTCGGAGATAAAAACTAGCTTGAAGATAATAGTCAAGCAGGACTTCTTTTAGTCAAAGAAGATTATTTCATCATAGTGTTATATATTAGAAAATTATAGCAGTATTACCACTGGCTTCTATTCAGAGATATACATAAAAGTCTTCCGAAGCTTGTTTAATTAGTCAGTTAGTCAACTACAAAATAGGACCAGACATATATATGCATCGGTCCAAGTTGCCTTATCCCATTAGTACAACAACATGGTCACCAAACTCATGGTAGTAATATATTAAAGAAAGATTGAATATACGGATATAATAGAGGTAGAAATAATTAGTTCATAAGCAGGGTATAAAGTAATTTTAATCTCACGGTTTAAAGGTAGACAAAGAGTGTATACACCTACTCCATTGTGATCGATTCTGAGTCATGTCACTCAGAGTCTCCAACCACTGGTTAAGTTAACCATGCGAATCCCGACCAAGTAGTCTGAATCTACCAACCTGGCTTAAACCAGATGTTAGTGACTTTATGGACTGACACGACGTTTGGCCGCCCCGAACTTTCTTTCAACCGTCTCCAACACTGGTTAGCATTACGCGTCGTCGTAATCGGTGTTCAGGCATACGTAACACGTGGCCCAACCTTCTCAGTTGATGAAGATTCACAATTTCATCAAGTTTTTTCACTATATAAATATCAAAATATTATGCTGTTCCATGTAAAAATAATGCAAATAAGAATGTTTTTAACAGTCGAATTCACGAGTCAGTCTGACCTAGACCACCATTGAAAACCTGGACGGTCGTTTCGCCCTAGTACTAGACTCCTCAGCAATGCGCATCAATGATCCCGCGAAAAATGTTATCGATAATATCACTGATTTCATCGAATGATAGTTGAAGAAATAAATAAATGAGAATTTCGAGAAAAGAATAATTGTCAAGTCCCATTTTTGGCAGTGTAATTCTAGGATCGGTATTTTGGTGGAGTTTTGTTCTCTGAGCTGGATGGTTTGATCGTGGAGCTTTCATCGTTCTTCTGAACGACATCATCAGCACAAAATTCAGATAGAAGTGAGGTGTTCGAATTAGCGTTCCACAGCTTGTTCTGTGCACCTCGATGTTGATTGCTTTTTATTGACCTTAAATTTATCATTGTTTACTTCTTTGTTTTGGTTGCGTCTCCCACTGGTTTGATTTTTGTTCCTAGATTTGTGCATAGTTTTCTTGATTGGTTGGTAAATTGGATTGATTTCAATATGCTTGTTGATTGACCTGAGTACCAGGCTTCTAAAAATTCTCTGGTGTTTTTGGAGTTTCCTCTAAAATTTCTCTAGAATCGGTATAGAACTATGGCAGGATAATAGTTAGTTTCTTATTAAAAATAATAACTGTATCAGTAAATCATGTTATATACACACAATATCTGAATGACAACCTTTCAAACTATGAAATTGTGTGAACTGTGCTTCAATCTCTATAAGAAGTGTCAGTTCCTTCAAGATTCCAAAAATGTCTTGTTGACAAGTGATAAAAAGTATGAAAACTAAATTCAAGATTTACTTGGTGTTGTTTTACTTGTATCTTCCCATTGTTATTTAGGACTGTAATTAATCAGTCTCATGTTGGCATATGTGTATCCTGTGCAGACTGCCTCGATATATCCTTAAATCACAAGCTTTTTAAACAAAGATAGATAGTTCACTGACTGAAATCATGGGTCAATTGAAGCTAGACCACCATGGAAAACCTGGAAGCACTGGACGGCCGTTTCGTCCTAGTATGGGACTCCTCAGCGGCAGTGCGCATCCACGATCACGCACTCCGCGAGATTCAAACCCAGGACCTATCAGTAACGCGCCAGGCGCGTGACTCATGATTTCAATCAGTGAAATTTCTAAAATCTCCACAAAATCCCTTCTGATAATAATCATCCACTCACTAGTGACTGACTTCAAGAGATACTCCTTGAGTTCTAATGAGAGGCCGTTTCCAGTGGAGTTCAACCAGGTCTGTTTTGAGATATCACCTCACTGAAGACAATGGTATACGGTAGCGCAACGTCGTGGATTGGTTGAAGTTAGACATTAACACCGTTGGATGCCGGCCAGCTCAGTGGTCTAGTTGGTTAAGCGCTTGGCGCGAGAATGATAGGTCCTGAGTTCGAATTTTATGGGGTGCGGGATCGTTGATGTGCACTGCTGAGGAGTCCCGTACTAGGACGAAACGGCCGTCTAGTGCATCCAGGTTTTCAATGGTGGTCTAGCTTCAATTGACTCATGATTTCAATCAGTGAAATTTCTAAAATCTCCACAAAACCCCTTCTGATAAAGATAGATAGTGACTGAACATCAACTCTGGAATGCAGGTACATCCAACTGATAAGTTCTAAATAGGACGAAATGGATGTCCTGGATTCCACTGCTAATCACTATCCATCTTTGCCTAAATCTAAGAATTCCTGATAACTACTTACAATCACTTAATAAATAAAAAAATTACCATAAATCTTCAATCTGATCAATTTTAGAACAATGAATAGTTAATTATCATTAATGAATTATGGGAAAATATTCGTTTTCTTGTTTGACGAAATACGATAGACACAAATGGTGGGGAAGATTTGTGGCTCAGGCGGATGATAAATAGAAGTCTTCTAGCTGAAGAAGACTTCTATCTAAAGTCTGTGCTACTGCTGATATCATTCAGAAGAACGATGAAATCTCCACGATGAAACCATCCAGCTCAGAGAACGAAACTCCATTAAAAACATAGACTAAAAGAAAAGAAGCAAAACCATAATCCATTTAAGAGATCTAGAATAATAATAACAATAATAATAGTAATCCATAATCTTAAAGAATAAATAACGCCTCTTGTAGTAAATCACAACAAACAAACAATTGTGATCATCATCCCTAGTCTCCGTCACTGATAAACAATCTAAGCCAATATCAGATTTTTGTAATGTTTAAACGAATTCTGTCAACATTTCATGATCATTATTGTTAGTAGTCACTTTACAATTATTAGATTGAATGTATTTTTCCTTTGAATCAATTGATTTTAATGAAATATCCTCATCAATCGAAGAATTGGACGATAGTTGTGGTTTTTCTAGGCCAATCAGAGTAGTAGTAAAGACTGGAGGAGGTGATGATGATGAACTAATAGTAGACGAAGGCAGCACTGATGATGATGTAGGTAAAGAATGCTGAGAAATACCGTCTACAACTTGATTCTTATTGTATAATGATGAATTTAATTCCATTGACCGACCACTTGTTACTGATGATGATGATGATGATGACTGAAATTCTAACAAATTTGAAAAGAAAACAAACAGTATAAGATGATGACAATCGAATTTTTGGAATAATCTCTTAGTACAGCAAAGTTTACAAATTATAGTTAATATCATCTTGAAAACCTAGTTTTTCCGATCACTGCTTATACTTTTACTACCTCTACCACTATGGGATTTGAATCGACAATTGTATCTGTGTGCTAATGTGGTATGGCAACGTGAACTGATATACGTATGTACGAAGTTCCACGTTGTTACTGACTGATTGAAGGATGTGAATTACGTCGGTGTTGATAATAAGAATTGAGTTTTATTATTAGTTTTTGTTAGGATATCTGAATGTTGTACAAATTGTATTGATATAGCCATTTTGTCACAAATGCCTTGGGATAGATGATGCTAATAAAAATCTAGTATCTTTTGCTTCAGTTCTGAATATCAACAATAAAATAACTCAAATTCTCATCAACAGTGATACAAATATCATATCCTTTGGACAAGTTAATAGGTATCTGAAATCAGTAGCGCAATAGAAAATATGTTGATGTTTGAAGAGAAATATACTTGGCTGGAGTTGGAGATACGTGCAGCTGACAAGCCCTAAATAAGACCGAATATATGTCCCACATCTCATTGTTAGACACAATCCATAGATTCTAAAACAATTTGAAATCTAAATTCACTTGGTATTGTTTACTTGAATTCTCCGATTGATGATTAGGACTACACTTGATCAGTCTCTTCATTGGTAAATGTGCACACTGTGCGTATTGCCTCAATATTGCTATCAGGACTCAGTAGCTAAGTGGATAACACGATGACGTTTAAACCAAATGGTACTGGGTTAGAGTCCCAGGGTGAACATTAACTCAGATGTAGGTGTATCCAGCTGATGGGTCCCAAATAGAACGAAACGCACATCCTAGATTCCATTGCTAGCCGCTATCCATCTTTGCTTAGAATTACAATTTGTTTTAATTACTTATAAAACAAAAGACAAGGAGTTTTCAGGTTCGAATGTTTACGAGATATTGAGTGGGTAGGGACTACTGAACTAAAGTGAAACGAATGTCCAATACTTTGTAATTTTCGATATATTTTTAACCATTTTATGGTGAAAATTGAGATCAATATCGAACACTTAGTGATGAAAACGATTATTTTCCGAGGTAACCCAGCTAGTTTAAATTTACTCCAATTTTCACTCATGAGCTTCAATTGTTTGTAGGCGCTGATCGTCAAGTTAAGACTTACGTAACAATTGTGATCAATGGTTAAAAACTTCCAAATCCATACTCTTGTAGCACAGATATATTCACTCTTTATCTCTACCTTAATCTTGAGTTTCCATAAACTTTTAAATAGAAGTGGATGTTTGAGAAAGGTGAAACTGGTCAAACTATTTTACATGGTGAATTATTATGCCTATTTTTTGCGTAATTACATACATACAATCGTTTTAACTTGCATACATACTTACTCCTATTACCCTTCATGGACGAAGATAGGCTGTCCATCAGGATTCTTCATCCAAATTTCTCCTGAGCAACCCTTTGTTATTTCAATTTCTATTCATTCTTTTGATGTATGCGTCCGATTCCCGACGCACTGTGTTATTTGGCCTTCCTCTTTTTCGTTTCCCTTCAGTATTCCAAGTTAGTGCTTGTCCCATGATGCAGTTTGCTGATTTCTGCTATGTATGTCCCATCCACCTCCAGTGTCTTTGATTTGTTCTTTGCGAAAGTAGGTTTTTGATGATGGCATCCGATCAACAGATATTGATTATCTCGCGCAGACAACTGTTTGTAAATATCTGTTCCTTTTCGATGATGGTTGTAGTAATTCCTCAAGTTTCGGTTCCATACAAAACAGTTGGTTTATAGCATTTTTATATTGTTCTGATTATAAGGATTTGTCTAACTTACTGACCGTTGACATACATATTTTTACCATCCCTAAATTATTGCTAATCAGTTATTCACCTAATCTTCCGTTTTGAATAACTTAAAAAGGTATTAGATTTGTACTTTTAAGGCTCTACTACCGGCAACGGGAATATGTGGAGATAAGTAAGGTGTACTATGGTTAGGATCAACCTTTTGTAACGTCTCTTCCGGTGTAAGTCAGTCAGCCACAACGTAGGATCAGGCACATATATGCATCGGTCCATGTTGCCATACCTCATTAACACTACAAGATGAACACCGGATTCATAAAAGTAGTTAATTCAGAGGTGGTAATATATAAAAGAAAGATTGCAATAAGGATATAGTACAGGAAGAAAGAATTAGTTCGTAGGAAGAAAGATATGAAGCGATTTTATTCTCTTAGTTTAAGGGAAGACAGTGAATGTATACACCGACGCCATTGTGATAGATTCTGAGCCATGTCGCCAAGAGTCTCCAACCATTAGTTACAATAGTCACGCGGACCCCAACCGAGTAGTCTGTTGTAAGAATGCAGCATCAAATTAGATGCTTTTCATCTGAAGGAAAATTCACACTGGTTTCATACTCCTGTAAAGCTCTCTGCATGACCTCGTCATTGAACGATGAGTTCATTGATTCAAGTGCTACTGCTCTACAACTAACTTCCGCAGCATGGTCAGATTTAAACAAACGAGTGTTGCGGCTAATAAACCTGGATTGGTTTATCATAATATGCAGCATGAACCATGGTTTACTTATAAATTTGTTGAAACGGATGTACTCCGAAAAGTGTTCTCGATTTCATACGTAAAGTGTATTATTAGTTTACAAATTGGTCCATTCAAATGAGAAAAAAGAGTGTATACATGTTGTGTAAAAGAATTGTTTAACAAAGATCAATTTTAAGGCTTTTTCGACTGGTTAAAAGATCTGAGAAACGATTATTGGTCCCCCCCGAAGTGCTATTTATTTAATGGGAGAAAAATTCTAGAACTAATTTAAATAGTACTAACCAACCACAAAAGATCTGCTCGAAATGTAATCAACAAGCAAGATCCTGGATCTAGGATCTCGGAGTCCATGTACACCACTGGTTTGGAATCAGGGTTTTCCAACTTCCCTAGGTGGACTCTTCGTGTCCACCAACCCGCTTAGAGCACCCGACATTCACTTTTCGTCCTCTTAATTTCATGAACAACATCCGTGGTACGAGAAGGCAGTGAGTAAGACTTCCCTGTTAGTGGTTGTATGCACGTTGCCATGTGAGAGCATTTCGAAAGAGAGAGAGAGAGAGCTGACTCTCCCTACTCTTGGCCGTACCACTATTTAGCAGTATCCTCAACAAATATGACAGTCATGTAGATTAAATGTTTTCGCCTATCACAAGAAGGCATAACTACGAAACATTCTGATCACATAAAAACGAAATTGATAAGAAATGCATTCGTTATTAATATCACTAACTTACCACAGTTTTGATAAACATTGTCATTGTGAATAACTGAAGTAATAGTAGGATCTTGTTTCGTGTTATTTTCCAATGATTCAGTACTATTATTCCTTTTCATATTTTCATAATTAACAGTAGTTGTAGTATTTTCAATAGAATATTCAACAGTCTTATTTTCACATAGATTTATCCATTCCAAATCAAGTATTTCATCAGTTTGATTTAAACGATTTAATTCTTGTTCTATGATAGATGGTTGATTTTCAGATTCCTTTTCAAATGTTCGTGTTAAAGTGTCTGATGTTAATGGACTGTTCGACTGATTCGAGAAGATATTTGTTGAAGTGATTTTAGATGACTTCAACTTTGAAGAAGGTGAATGCAATGATGATGATGACGACGACGATGATGATGATGATGATGATGATGATGATGATGAGGAGGAGGATGACGATGAAGACGATGATGATTTGGAGTTTTTCTTTTTCTTTACAGGTGATTTAATCTTTTTTTCAGCAAGTGACGGTGATACTGGAGGAGACGATTCACCTTTAAAATCGATGAATGAATAAAAATGAATAAATCAATCATCTTAATCACGTTGATTATAACTCCTAAATAAACAGAATAAAGATATCTCATTGGCGATGGCTTGGATTACCCCGTTACTGATATTTTGAGTGAAATTCATTCAGTCTTAGTTGGTATAACTTCATTCTGTGAGGATTGCTTTGGTATAGTTATTAGGACACAAGTATATATAAAATAGATGTCATCTGGCTAGTAGTGGAATGTAAGAATCGCGTTTCTCCCTATTCAGAACTCGTTTGAAGCTGAAGATATCTTCATTCTACAGTTGGTGTCCATTGCGGGATTCGAACCCAGTGCCTATCCCTTTATAAGTGCCCAACGTGTTATCAAATTATGTTTTTTATAGTTCAATATCGATAGGTTAAACTGTTATGTAATATTATATGTGGATAAATAATGAAAAACATGAGAGAATCGGACAGATATTTTACTCTTCAAATTAAAATTATTCACAACAAACCATCGGATCAATCATTATTGAGTCCTGGCAAAAGATTGGCTTCAAAGAATGAAACTATTCAGATGTTGTAATTGATTATGTTTAATCATGTTGTGTATGAGGCATTTATCAAATCACACTATATTGTGTGAATAGATTAAGGTTAGAAACGTGAACTACTGGATTCTTATTTTGATCGGAAATCGCCATGATTCCTACAAGATATGAATGTCTCTATTTCAATTTTACGTTGAATCGGGAGGGAGGTTGAATTGCACAATGCTGAGTAGTTTTAATATAGAAGGCAATAGTTGTCCTGTAATTCCTAGTTTATTTTTTTTATTTTTTCGAGTGATATTAGTTCACGATGAAATCTAATCTAAGTAATGATTTTATTCAAGATACTTCATGTAAGTCCACAGTTATTGTTCATAGACTATAAACAGGAAATCAGTGTAAATGAGAAATTGTATCTTTTGTCCGTGTCACCACTGTTATATTTGCTGAGGGATCTTTCTTTTATGTCTGGCGTACCTCCGATGTTAATATCCACGTATCAATTGTGTTCGGTTCATCGCCCTATCATTTATGCTTGAAAATCGTGAATCATTGCAATTCTTTGATCCTACTCTCTATACTTTGAAACGGGAACCAATACAATTCCCACGAAGCAAAGTAAGAACACTAAATAAGTCCCAAGGTCATATCATCATTAAACCATTCATAGCATCTCAAATCGATGTCAGACCGTGACTGTTGGTGAGATTTAGAATATTCCTCTAAAAATGCACAGCGGCCCTGAAAACGCTAGGAAATATTTTATTCAATCAGCATTGAATAAAAGTGTCTTAGAAACATCTAGAAAGTGAGGAGTCACATGTCACATTCCTGATTGGGTGGTTACTTACTTTGCTAATATGTTTAGTAGGGTTCCAGAACCTTCCAGAAGCCCGAGACCATCTGAAACTCTATAAATACCCTAAATTTTTTGTGCATGGATAAAAAATGGAGTAAAGTGTTCTTTTCCATATTTCACGCCTTTTCTTTCCTGTTGAGGTTGTTGTGTAAATTTAGCCTGGGGTTATAAAAGAGCTTATGAAATCAATTCAAGCGGTCAGTTAAAAGAGTAATCAATGACAACTACTGAGAATTACATTTTAGTTAAAAAAAAACAAAATGAAATAACTACTATTAATTCACTTGGTATCGTTTGTTCGAATCTTCCCATTGAGGTTTAAGACTGCAATCGATCAGTCTCTGATTGGCATATGTGTATCCTGTGTGTATTACCTAGATATTGCCTTCATTCACAAGCTTTATAAGCAAAGATAGATAGTGACTAGCAGTGGAATCCAGTAAGGCGCGCGTTTCATCCCATTTAGGGCCTGTCAGCTGGATGTACCTACATCTCAGAGTTGATGTTCACTCTGGGTCTCGAATCCAGTACCATTCGCTTTAAACGCCATCATGTTATTCACTCGGCTACTGAGTCCTGATATCAATATCGAAACATCAAATATTCGATTGTGTTAAGTAGGCTTCGATATTAATGATTTATCAAGTGATTAAACATTACCAATTTCCAATAGATATATTTCAAGTCGCAATAAATGAAATGATGTTATCATCAACTCACTTGATTTTCCACTGTCATAATCATCTTTGATATTTTCAAAACGTTCAGTTGGATTTTCATTTTCTATATCATCATTACACCCGTTATCTACAGAAAAGTAAAAAGGAACGTATGTAACACAATATCATATTAAAGATAGAATAATGTTACGATTGAGTGGTCACTCATACATCCTTAAATGTCAGTCAGCTATAACGTAGGATCAGGCACACAGATACATCGGTCCAAGTTGCCATTAACACAACAAGGTGAACACCGAATTCATAAAATTAGTTAATTCAGAGGTGGTAATATATAAAAGAAAGATTACATATAAGGATATAGTACAGGAAGCATCTTTAAATGAGAATACAGTTGTTTTTTTTTCTACAAATCAGATGAATTATCTACGGTTTCATTGCCCTACAAACCTAAATAGCGACAATAGCTCATCCCTCCTATACTTCAATTAACTCTGAACATGAAAGTGTTATAAGACACGAATGAATAAACTGTTTAATTTAACTTTCTTGGAGAAATTGTGACGTTTGTCATTTCGAACCGCTCATATAGGTACAGTTATGAGGCCCCTTGTTGACATCCTTATGTTTTCCAGTATACTGCTCACTAATGACTGTTGTGGTGTATATTTTGAAAAAAGTTTTATACTCTGAAACGCAAGTATTAAAGAACAGTTCACTAGAAGAAAAACTGACAGGTAAAGATATAAGTGCTTAAAAACATCTGAGTACTATCAACTATAGGATGAAGGTACATCCAGCTGACCAGTCCCAAATAGGATAAAATGAGCATCCTGGATTCCACTACCAGCCACCATCCATTTCTACTTATAATGCTTGTAGCTTAAGGCAATATCGAGGCAATCCGCAGAGGATGCACATATACCGATGAAGAGACTGATATTCCCTTTATCTCTTTTCAGAAGAGACTCATCAATTGCAGTCCTAAATGTCAATGGGAATATTCAAACAACCAATATAAAAATAAACAAGTTGTCAATAATAAAAATATTATAATGTGATATTGAATAATCAGGATTTAGTTAACAGTAGATATAAGGTGTACATGCACTGAATGTCTATCTTATAACCGAAGAATATATATATTAACTAGATATAATATATAATGACAGTTCAAATGAAAAACACCATTGAGGATGAATTATCGAAGGAAATGGATATGTTGGAAAGTTTATGAACGAACACATCACTAGATGGATTTTAAGAAAGTATTTCTGTTAACTTACAATAGAGAAATTACAGAACCATTCAGAGAAGGTCAAAGTATACCGCTTAACATCTGGAAACTATAACTGATGCTTTCTACTTGTCTTGTGATGATACAATAGCTGACGAGAAGAATTGTACTTCCCACTCAAACTTCCTATTGCATTTATCAATTCAATAAATCCTTGTGATTCAGTCTATACTAGCAAATATCTACAGAAGTTGGCTTTACAGTGACACATATGTACAAATTCTACAGAAAGCATCAGTTCCATCATGATTGCAGGTACACTTTGTTTACGAGTGTCAACTAACAAGAAGACTAGATCTAAGATATATGTCAAATACGTTCAGCTTACTTAACATCAAAATCTACTAAACGCGGTGTTGATTCACTAAGATTAATGACTTGATCGATAGAGTTCGATAAACACAAGTTAAGACTAAAGAAATACAACATTATCAGTATAGGGTTGTGGAGATTACGTTTTTGATTGAGATTCTGAACCGATTGATGTTAGACCATCATTGAAAACCTGCAAGAACTGGATGGCCGTTTCGTCATACTGCGGGACTCTTCAGCAGTGCGCATCCACAACCCAGCTCGCGGGATTCGAACCCAGGGCCTTCAGGCTCGCGCCCCAATGCTTAACCTCCAGACTACTGAGACGGCTGACATTCAACGGTGTTAATGTCTAACCTCAACCAATTCACGAAATTGCACGAACATCTTCCATTGTACTAAGGTAGATATCTATCTTTACCCAACACGGATTAGCTTCACTGGTCACAGCTTCTCACTAGAACTCCGAGAATTCCCTCACGAAGATAGTCACTAGTGAGCACATGGTAATTATCGTTATAGGTTTGTGAAGATCATTAAGTTATTGATTGAGATCTTGAACCGATTGATGTTAAATCACCATCGAATCCTGCGAGCGGGATCATGGACGCGCACTGCCACTGAGGAGTCCCACAATAGGACGAAACAGCCATCCAGTGCTTCTAGGTTTTCAATCGTGTTCTAACATCAATCGTTTCTAAATACAACATTGACCAATAGTTAATGATCAGATCAACGGGAATGTAGTCCAATTATACAAATGTAAATATACAAACGATAGATCCATTTTACATCTTTAATGGATTGTAAGATAACATCAGAAATGATGCTGCTGCTGATGATGATGATGACATGGTGATTTATGAATGAAATAAATGAATCAAAAATATTTATATTATCCCAGTTGCATTAAGTAAAAATCATGATATTATATTATTACTTAATTCATATAGAAATCGTAACAGTGAATAACTATTCATTTCATCATTTTCTTCATCTTCAAGGATTATTTTCAAAGGATCTAAAGTGAACAATACAAATAATACGAAAAATCAATAAAGATAAGGAACAACTATATTGAAGAGAATAGGTACTTTCTAAATGAATTAAGCATTTCATTCTATGGACAATGAAGATCATATGGATGATGCAAGACTAGAATGATTGTTTACCTGGTATACTAAACATATGTGATCACTTATATTATCTGATCGTTGTTTTACTGTTTAGATGATTACTGTGTATACGATTCTGAAAAAAAAAACAACTGAACTATGAGTCAATTGAAAAACCTGATTTCTGAGAACTTCTTGTTGGGGTGATCCGGCAAATTTCTCGCAAAAGACAAGCAAGGATCAGGAAACACTAAGAAGCGCTTCCTTGAAGTTTTAGCCAAAAATATCAAGGGGGCAGAAACGTCACATGCAGAGGTTCTGATTGGCTGATTGCTACATTGCTACTAGGTTCAGTAACATTCCAGAATTTCCTAGTAACTCAAGGACATTTTAAAATATTATAAAAACCCTGTATTTTCTGTGTTGAAATGAACCTTAGAGTAAAGAACTTCTCGCATACATTGCGTCTTCTCTCTCGTTGTTCAGGTTGCTGTATAGTTCTAGCTTGGGGGTTACAGAATACCTTAGGAAACGAATATAGTGTTCATTTAGCAAGACTTATCACTTCTAATGATGTTTTAAGTAATGAAAACAGAAATAAGATTACTGTATTGGTAGAATTGGGAGATTATTTTGAATGACAGAAGATTATTGAACCCTAAATATGAAAGTTTTCATGACCTTAGTTCATGTATTTATGAAAAAGAACGATGATAAATTTAAGTCCTATGAATCCTAATTATTACCCACTATATTAGTTTTCTAGTTTATTGTGTTAGTCTAACTAAATTGATATTGATATATTGCTGGATACGGAGCATCCACTGAGCAGCAGTTCAACTGGTCTGCTGCCCCGGCAACAATCATTAGACTGCCATGCCCTCCATGGCCTGTGATGACTGATCCACCCAACGAGGCGGAAGTTCAAAAGCAAACCCAACTCTTGCGTTACAAATTACCAGACCCAGATGGCTTGCCTCCAGCCCTTTTTAAAGATGTCGATGAATTTCTGTTTAAGGAAGTGAGTTGTTTACAAACGTCTGACAATTAAAGTGTTTCAACATCGTAGAATAAGTCGATAGTTGTCAATACCTTTAAAAAGGGTTCACTTTGTTTCTGTAACAAATATAGGGGCACAATTCTATTGCAGATTGTGTCCAAACTATTGGCTTCCGTCATATTTCATAGATTGTTCAAACCCGAGAAAGATTTACTCGCGAGGAGCAGGCTGGTTTTCGTTCTGGTCGAGGATGTGTTGATCATATCTTCACTCTATACCAAATGTTAGAACACAAGCTAACAATTGTAATGTTTCTTGACATTAGGGCCGCCTTCAATTCTTTGGACAAAATTGTGGTGAATATTGATTTTCATTGAACTCATGAACCGATCAATAGTAGACCACTATTGAAAACCTGAAAAGACTGAGTGGTCGTTTTATCCTAATATGGGACTCCTCAAGAGTGAGAATCCACGATGTCCGCATACGGGACTCAAACCCGGAAGCTTTCCCCTGGGTTTTCGTTGGTGGTCTGATGTTCTTGAGTTTCAACCTCTTAGATTGTTTTAAGTATGATTTTCACAAATAATGTCGTCTATATATTCGGCGTCCAATTTCTGTTAAACTATTTGTTTAAATGTTGACGAATATCAATATAAGTTTCATCGTCGCTTATCAGTATATTAGTCACCTAGTAGTTCTGGCAATATAAATCTGCTGGGATCATTTGAGTGGTAACAAAGTTAAATTAGAAAACACATTACACTGCATTGAACTGATTGAGATACATTAGCAAAGAGTTTTAACTTCAAAGTGTCTAGAAAACTATGGTCTCAAAATGATGGTGGTTCGTGGCAATATTACAAAACATTGGGAGAAATTAAGAGGATTCTAAATAGACATAATATAAGAGTACATTTTCGAGCTAGTGACAGCATAAGATCCGGATTAGTGAAAGTTAAGGATAATTTTCCAAAGGAAGAACAACAGAATGTTGTCTATGAAATCAGTTTTCATGATTATAAGGCAGCTTATGTGATAGAAACATCTAGACAACTGAATTTGAGATTGAAGGAATACAAGTAATGATTGAAATATGTTCCCAAATCCTCGGTGTAATCTAAAGAAACTTGAGAATAGGTTGACGATAGTGTTATATAAGTTAAAAGCAGGATACAAGGTCAACTTCGAAAAGACCAAGATACTTCATAAAGGGTTTGGGACACATAAAGCTCGACAGCAGAAGCACTGTTTATACGGGCTAATAAGAATAACCTGAACAACAAAGATGATATTCAACTAGCCGCCCTTAGAGAAATGATCATCAACAAGTAATTAGATCTTATCTCTATTCAACTTGTTTATTTCACATTGATTGTTATTTTGACAGAAACTAATTGGGATATTTTATTCCTACAATTATTTATTTCAATAGTTGAGATCATGAGTCAATTGAAGCTAGACCACCATGGAAAACCTGGAAGCATTAGGAGGCCATTTCGTCCTATTGTGAGGCTCTTCAGAAGTGCGCATCCACGATCACGCCTCACAAGATTCGACCCATGATTCACAAAAGCCCCTTCTGATGCTTATTATTTATTTGTTGGTTCTCATTTTCTATAAACATCGAGATCATTTCAAATATAATTTTCACAAATAAGTCTTACAATTAACTCAAAACAGTGATAACCCGAAATTTGTTATCTATGGTGAATAAATCTTGTTCCATCCTGTTTTTCTTAGATTGAAAATATGCAGAGGCGTTGAAACCATACAGTTAACAGTCAATACAAATAAGAAATGGTTAGAGGATATCAATAATTTTCATGGTTATGAAAATGAATTCAACTTCAGAGAAACGACCGTTGAATGTTAGAAAGCAATGTATAGACATGTCGTCTGGGTTAAAACTCTTTAAAATGAATACTGATAACTCTATAAGAGGTTAGATCGAAAGCCTTTAGGTCTCGTGACGAGCACGACGGTATTCAGCCAATGAGTTAAAAAATCGATGACATGCGAAACCTGATGGGATTTTTTATTGTAAGTTTCTTCGAAGCACTGCTCGTATATAGTGGAACGACAGAGTGAAATATACTGAAGTTATTTATATGATATTAGATAAAATGAAATAATCGTTCACTGAGATAGTCGAGACGTGTATTACTTAAACCCAAACATCACGTGCAACAACGTCCAGTGACGGCTAGCAAGGACACTAAGGAATAGCATAAATTGACCGAAGCAAGATACTACATTAGTAAATTAAGTCACTGACTTTATCTAACCCGTTCTGGTTGATGCACACGATCTATTCGGGGTATGAGTGATAACAAAGATCAGTGGTTGAAGACGCTAATATTCGGGTACTCACAACGAACGTCTAGGTGAATCTACAGATTTTCTCGTGGGAAGCAATGAACTTCAAGGTCAACCAAATCCAAAGTGAGAACACAGCCACTAGTGGTTGGCACTGTTGTACAAAGGTATAATGAATGCTCACTACGAGATTTGAACGCCTTAAATTGAGTCCCATCTCAAGTTGTGAAATAAGCTTTGAAGATAGTCCCAATCATTCTCTAGATTGATATTATACCATCTATTATGGTACAAATGTGTTGAATTTAGAAAAGTTAACTAACAGCATTAATATTGTTATTACTATTATCGATGGCTTACTTCTGAATGTAATCAAACGATCATCTTTTAATGATGAATGTTCCACAAATTTATACATGATATCCTCTTCTGGTATTTCTAAAGACAGCTATGACAAAAGAAAGAATAAAGAATTTTAATATTTGGATACCAATGACCTGTTTTGAAATACTTTAGTTAAATGTGTATTGATCAAAACATAATTTTTTTAGATCGATAAAATAAACGGATTAATGTTGGGCCACCATTGAAAACCTGGAAACACTAGACCACCGTTTCGTCTTAGTATAATACTCTTCAGCAGTCCAGGCCCACGATTCCGCATGCGGTACTCGAGCCCAGAAATGTTGGGTACCGACTCAGTGGTCTAGAGTTTAAGCGCTCTGGCGCGAAATCGAAGGTTCTGGGTTCGAGTCCCGCATGCATGGTCGTATGTTCGCGCTGCTAAGGAGTTCCAATTAGGGAGAAACAGCCATTCAATACTTCCAGGTTTTCAGTGGCGGTTTAACATTGATCCATTCGTGATATCAAACTAAACTCAACCACCTCCACAACCTTATACTGATAATTTCTTTGTTTCAGATTTAACTAACTAATCACGATATTTTGTATATTTTTCTCCTTCCGTTTTTCTATGAAAGGAAAAGAGGTAATTGATCTCGAATTCACCTATGAAACATAGCAAGGAGATGAAAATAGATGTCCTGAGAGTAAAGTTGGTCGTTAACATTTATGGATGAATCTGAATGGTAGATAATCACTGTTTGCAAATAGATTATACATATTTTCAGACTGATGTTAGACCACCATTGAAAATTGGAAGCACTGAACGGCTGTCTCGTCCCATTGTAAAACTCCTCAGCGGTACGCATCCACAATCCTGCTCGCGAGACTCGAGCCCAGGACCTTCAGCCTCGCGCCCGAACGCTCAACCTCTAGACCACCGAGCCAGCCGGCATCCAACAGTGATAATGTCTAACCTCAACTAATCCACGAAATTGCACGACCATATCCCATCGTACTGAAGTAGATACCTGTGTCTATCCGACACGGATTAGCTTCACTGATCACCGCTTCTCACTAGAATTCCGAGAATTCCCTTCCAGGTTTTCAATGGTAGTCTAACGTCGATCAGGTCATGATCTCGATCACAAACTTAATAATCTCTACAACCTCATACAGATCATTATACACATTTGTTGAATATTCATAAGTTCAATACATATAAAACACAAGGATCTTTGGAATGTCGCATAATCTATATTGTAAATTCTTTACTGTGATCAAACAAATGGTGTTAAGTAAAATGAGTAATATTACACTAATCAGTGATTATATATTTCTAATTTGCTCAATCTCATTATGAATTGAAGAATGTTAGCAGAAGAAAAAGCAATTTGAAATCAATGATCAATCAATTTTGACTCAGTAGCCAAAAAGGATCCTGTGTTCATTCTTTTGAAGTTTATACCCTTTTCATATATGTACAGATTAGTTTTAATTAGAAAATGAAATCAATTAGATAGAATAGATGAAAGCTAATTATTGTTTTGCATAACTTCTCAATGATGTATAACTACGAACTGAGACAGAAAAAGCCTATAAGAGATCAGATTTTCAACCGATTGACTAGTGAATAGTGATAAATGTTAGAGGTTGATTACCAATACAGTAGTCTTGATTGTTGTTAGAGGTATGAGGGCGGTTATCAATTCCCAGTTCCCCATACTCTCGAAGGGTTCTTCTAGAGGCACCTGAAAAAGAAATTGAACTAGAGGTGGTCTTAGTAACCTACGAGGGTGACCGCAGTGCCCAAGGGACAACTGCTTGAGGTCGGTCACACACGACCTATTTGTAAATAACTTTCGTATTAGCTCCGTACTTGTTGAGACCGTATCGCCGGAGACGGATATCCGTGGGATAAGGTGAGGTGTGCATATTTAGGGTCGACGTTTTCTAACCTCACCCCTTCTCGTGAGAAGGCAGCATCGCTGTTATGTTGGTTGCTTGAAGGAAACACCCTACTGACGTCACACCTCTGTATAGTCAACAGTACGACTTCGCCTTTGGACCTTGGGTTTGCTGCTTTTAGTTTTGTCGTTCTTCAACCGACCTGTCTAGCATGGCAGGTCCTTGAGAAACGATCTTTCCAGTCAGTATAGCTCGATAGGTTCATCACGATAGGCAAGCTCGACCATCACGTCAAGGTAGCAACAACGGTCGGGAATGTTACATTTATACAGTCGGTTCAGGGCTGACTGAATTCTGTCAATCAAGTTGTAATGTGACTGACTACTAGTGTAAGTGACTCGACATCGTGTTCAATATGATGAGATGTTAGATGTTTAGAAGCAGTTGACGGGATACTTTGGATTTATGATATATGCTAATTGACGATTTTCATCAAGAAATATCCTGAATCGTGAAGTACGATTCAAACTCATGTCACTCGATTTTACAGCCTAAGACGTTTCCAGATGGCAATGTTACCTATTTAGTGATTAGTTAGTTGTAAATATCTCAGTTTTACAGAAGATTATTTTCGATCCGAACGGCTCAGTGGTAACGTCTAAGACTATGAAGCTAGGGCTTGAATATTACCGATATCATCAATCTTCTCAAGAATACAGGTACACTTTGCTGAAGAATTCCAGCTAATATCGAATCCGGGTCTAGTAGAGTATCCTATCAACCAACTCTAACCAGTGAAATCAACCAGATCTCTCGATGTTCTTAACACCAATAAATCAACCGAATGGAATTCTGTAATAGTGAGTATTTTTAACTTCACCCGATCAACAACACAACTCAATCCTCATTCAGTATTATCGATAATAACTGTTGTCTCATTCTCAACAGAGGTCATACTTTGTCAGCAAAGAGGAAACATCTTAACAATCCACTAAAAAGCTAGTTGTTTGTGGTCTAGTCTCATGAAAGACGAGTATGCAGTGAACTGATCAAAAGTTTCACATACAAGAATAATTTAACTAATCGAATTAACGATAACTGAATGATGTTAGTGAGGTTTAAACACAATCATGTCATTTTCCTTCTCATTAATAACTATACAAAGGACTTTTGACAATAATCCAACTAACTGAATTCAATCTTAATATCATCGATTCTATATAAGATTGATAATTGGAAACTATCCTAAGAAAGTATAATCATCAATGAGATAAGTTTGCAAAATCATGTTACAATCCGTGGTCGTACGATTCAGATATATATACGTTTCCTTTCCGCTAGTTAAACTTTCTGAGTGAGTGAGATGATTAGGAAAAGGTTAGGAAGTAGGTGAACCGAATGATGTGTAAATGAATTATGAATAATTTTTAATAGTTGAATTCACGAGTTAATCTAACCTAGTTCGCTACTGAAAACCTGGAAGCTCTAGACGGCCGTTTCGTTCTAGTATGGGACTCCTCAGCAGTGCACACCCACGATCCCGCATGCTGGACTCGAACCCAGGGCCTTGGGTCTCGCGCGAACGCTTAACTTCTAGACCACTGCGCCAGCATCTAACGGTGTCAATGTCTAACTTCCATACTAAGATGAAACGGACGTCCGGTGCTTCCAGGTTTTCCATGGTGGTCTAGCTTTAACTGACTCATGAATTCAACTATTAAAAATTACTACAATATCCACAAACCCCCATTCCGTTAAAAATCATGAGTAGACATAAATCTCCAATCACCATCCACGGACCCACCCACCCAAACACACACACGCGCATACACATCCAGACAATAATATATAAGATGTGACCACCTTCCGATGGCGTGACTTCTTTATCATGTCTCGCCTACCATTTAACCGTGAGAAGTATATATTTATCCAGGCGTCTATCGAGTCAACATTTAATCAATTAGAGTCTTGACAATTTTATCGAGTTCTTTCTTTTTGTTGACAAGGATTCCCAACTTCTCTAGATAGATCATCTATGTCCATCAACTCTATTCAAGCGTCGAAAATTCGCTTTTCACTACCTTGATTTCGTAAACGACACTTCGGCAGGGAAAAGAAGGTGAGTACGACATTTCTGTGAGTAGCTATATACTCGTGGGAGTATAAGAGCATTTTAAGAGGTAGAGTGGACTCTCCCTAGACTCGAAGGTATTACGGCATTTGTACTAAGTACTATATATATATATATATATATATATTAGTGAGAAACTGACTTACCTCAAGTTTTTCAACATCAGATAGAGGTATGGTTAAAACATTCGACAAATTACAAAAATCAACATATTTGATTTTATCTGTAATCTTCAAATCATTCAATGGCCAGCGCAGTTTCAATCTAGCACAAGAAAAATAATTGACGAATTATAGAAATTTAACTTTTGAATATATATACACACACAATTCGTTGATGAGTGACAACTGACACGAAACCTAACTACGTTCATGGCTTCACCGCTTCCAAGTCACTAACCTTAAATTATAATTAGTCATTATTTATAATTGTACAAGCTTGGAAGATATTCGATAATTATGGTTCATGAGAATGATATGTTTTTGTCAACTTCTATTCTATAAACTATAGGGATCCCATTGTGAAGCTTTCATTGTGTTTCGCTCTATTTGGGACTTGTCTACATCTGGATGTTATTGCATCTCATAGTTGATCTTCACTCCGAAACTCGAACTCAATACCGTTTAACTTCAAACACCATCGCGTTACCAATTTAGTTACTGAGTTCAAATAGCAACTGACCTGTACAATGAGTATGAGATTTAATTCAATCTTATATGCTTTAGATTACCTGGTTGTTGATATAGAATCATCAACATGTGTCATAATGAATACATCAAGGCAATCCTCATAGGATGCCTATAGGCGAACTAAGACTGATAAAACGTTAATCAACAACACGATAATTAAAACGATTTCAAGCCTGACTTTATTGTGTTTGTTTCTAAACAATATCATCCGGATGAATCTAGGACTTTCCGAATTCGAGCTGATGATATAGCATAAAATGAAGGTTTTAGTTATAGACTTGCTAGGGTATTATCGCGGGAACTCTTAAGTTTCCCCTTACATGAATGATTTGTAAGTGATTTACGGCTTATTTCCCTAGAGGACAGAAAAGAATAGACCTGAATTGTTTATGTTTGATAAAAGTAATAATTCTCTTAAATCAAAGAAGCCACTAATAATCTTACTTAAAACTTTCAGTATCCTAGGCATGATGTTTCGCTCTTCAATGCTTTGAGAATAAATAAGTAATGAATACTTTTCCTGTCATGTTGACATAGATTTATTCTCTCTTCTTATAATCAGTTGATCATTGGTTGGTGACCAATTTTATGGTAGTTTAAGTCCTTCCTAACACTGTTCATCGAATTTTATCAACCAAGTTGCAATGTTGTCACTTTAGTGTAATTAGATTAACATCATATATACTGTATTTAGATGTAAGGTGTTGATCACATTGCAACCTAATCGAGAGAGTTATATCAGCACTAAGAGAGACTTAAAATACGTAAGATTAGTCACTACTCAATGATTAATCAATTGTAAATACATCTCAGTCCAAGAGGAAGTCAGATGAGGCCTAAATAACTCAATGGTGACGTCCCTGACTGTGGAGCTAAGTGATATAGGATCGAAACAGCTAGAGAGGATCAATTTACTTAAGATTACAGGTACACCTTACTGAAGAGTTCCAAACAGCACGAAAATTCGGTACAGGGTTTTATATCGACTATCTTCAACCACTACCTAGCATTTGCTCTTTATAGTGCCCCTCCCTCGAAAAAAAGGTATTTCAAGAATTCATCCTTTCTTTTCAAACCATATCTTTTAACGTTCAATATTTTCCATTATCATGATTGATACCAATGTTACTTGAATATCGTTTTGACATTTCTCTTGTTAATTTCATTTTGTCGTTCTGACAGGGTATATGAACTTGAAATAACGCAAATGTGTGTTAGGATCTATATTGATGATAACTGAGTTTCCTGTTAACATACCACTGACAATTTGATGATGCGTCAGATACTCTGTTTGTTTCAGATTTCATGCATATTTATTTAATGCGAAACCTAATGATACCTCACTAAACCAACTCAAATGAATTAAGTACAAAAAGAGAGAGCTTTGAACGTTATAAAGTTTTAATTATCAGTATATTCAATTCAAAAATATGTTCAGCAGGATAACAGTAGTTTATCAATATTTTTCTTACATAAATGACGTTTTATAAGAGAAGATGGATAATGGTTAGCAGAGGAATTCAAGATATATGTTTCGTCCTGTTTGGGACTCGTCAACTGGGTGTATGTTCAATGTTAAAGCAATCCGCATAATATGCTTATATGCCAAAACGAGACTGATCAATTACAATTCTAAACACCAATTGTAAGGTTCAATAACAACCAATAAAAATGACTTAAATGATACTCTTTTAATGAAAGATAGATAGACTTCTATCTGAAGTTTGTGCTGATGATGTCGTTCAGAAGAACGATGAAAGCTCCACAACCAAAGTATCCAGCTCAAAGAACAAAACTCCATTAAAATATAGCTTAGTATTTTCTTTATTAACATCAGTTTAATCTATTATAACATTGTAACTTCTAGACATACATAGAGCTATAGATTCATTATTATCAAGGTACCACTCAGTTCAATTTATTTAGACTATTGATCAAAAAAGTAAACAAAACATAAGTCAATGTGTATTCAGGTATGGTTTTTCAATTTATTTTTAATGTGTAAATAGTTGTTCATCTGGCGTAGTCCTTTTTGTATTGCGAGGACTACAGTTTCCCTTTTGAATGTATCCGTATTTCCGTAGTTCGGATATTTTAGAACTGACATTCACGCGATATATCTTTCTTAGATTTAAGAGTAAAGGATTCTCTGAACACTTTGAAATTATGATGATTTTTCTACAAAAAATATAGTGAGTATTCGTTTTTCATGAGGTTAAAAGCAATATGTATGATTGTGACAGTAACTGGCATGGATCCGAATCTCAAGGGTAATTATATAAATTTCATTAAGATTTTTAGAGATGATTCAATGAAAGATATCACATTTTGGCATAGAAATCAAGTTTAAGACTTCTGTAATATCCTTTAATTTTTTGAACTATAAGATTGTTTACACTGAACAAACCAATGATCTTCAACCATTTTACGTCAGATAAAGTTGCTAGTTGGGGCGGTCTGGTAAGGGGAGGTGACATTGAGTAGAGCGTTTTGGCGTTAGCTGTTGACGTACGGAGGCAGTGAGATGTGCGGCTGCTGGGCAGACATCAGCTGTGGATGGCTCGACAGGTCGACAGAGCTGAGAAGGTCATACCACCGCAGACTCCACATTTTGACGAGGAGAGTGACGCAAACTGCGGCAAAAGCAAAGTCGCTTAGCGAGTAGAACCACCGCGAGAGCGACTGTTTGAAGAGGGGACGAGGATGGTGTATGCTATTTATGTTGACAGACGTTTAATGTATGGTTCTCATATTTTACGAAGATATCCTGTAATTTTAAATGAAATAATAAACTGGTTGTCTTCATCCAAATCTCGTTCATTACAATAACATACTCATTTTTACATACAAATTAATGTCGGATCAAAATGGACCATTAAATTGGTGAGCCACCATACTGTGGACAGTATGTTCCACATTTATTTAAATAATCAATAAATAAACCAATAATGTATAGCGATATGTTTATACTACTTTTTCTACTTATTACTTCATATAACTGTGAAAAAAAACTGATATTCGTTACAGGAAATTGTGATTCAAACATGGCAAAAATAGTTGAGATTTAATAAAACACTGAAAATGTATTAAGACTATATCTGGATACAGTCAGTCAGTCCGTAACAACATAGAACTTCGTATGTATGTACATATATCAGTTCAAGTAGCCATACGATTGTCGATTCAAACCCATAATGGTAGAGGTAGTAAGACTATAAGCAGTAATCGCAAAGATTAGGGCTTAAAGATGTTATTCGAAGAGTATAATCCAGTGAAATAAATTTGGAAACAGCGAAAATAAGGGACATGAAGAATTCAGAAGATTAAAATTTGGGAGAACACAAAAAGTGGATGCACCTGCGCCATTTTGAGCCATGTCATTTAAGGTTTCTAATCACTAGTTGCTATCATTTCGCCGATCCCAACCATGTAGTCTACATCTACCAACATGGCTCAGTCCACTTGTCAGTGACTTTATGGATTTATGCCATGTTTTGATCTGGCCGCCCCTAGCTTTTTTCCAACTTACTCCTACATCATAAAACATCGCACATCGGGGCAGTCGGCGATCGGGCATACGTAACACATGTCCCAGCCATCTCAACTTCATCAATTGATTTTCCATCCATACCTAGTACCCTTTTCCTAACAACTATATTACTTACTCGGTGGTTCGAGGATATACGAGCAATGCTTCGAAGATACCTATGATCGAATACTAGTAACCTACGAATATCCTCTACTCTTAACGGCCATGTTTCACTGCCATATCTGAATACATTGAGTTACTTAAGATTTATTCATTTGATCAATGGTCATATTTGAATAAATTATATTGGGTGGTATTAACTATTAATTAATTAATTACTGAATTTATGAACAAAGTCTATTAATATCATGGGATTAAATGGTTGAAATCAACGGAAGTAATCCATTTCTTGAGTTATACAAAACTACTTCTGAAAATGTGATTAAATGTCAAAGGGGATTAGAGGAAATCAATTTTGTAGATCCCTTAAGCTTTAATGAATTAAAATTTTAAGATATAGGGAATTATAGGGATAGCTCGATTGTATAGTTTATATTGTGAACTTATCGTATGGCTTTTACCAACTTACGTCACCTATGGCAAAGGCGAGATATCCGTCTATCAATAAAAGGACGAGTATATTGCGCGGCAGTTCGTTCTGTTTTATTTTACGGTTGCGAAACGTGGCCATTAACAGTAGAAGATGTTCGTAAGCTACTAGTATTTGAGCACAGATGCCTTAGAGATATTAATCACATCTGCTGGGATCACCAGGTAAGTAATAGTGTGGTTAGACGCAGGTTATTCAGGAATGGTTGCAAATCAGTTGATGAGGTTGTGAATCTTCATCGACTGAGATGGTTGGGCCACGTGTTACATATGCCTGAACACTGATTACTACGACACGCGATGCTAACTGGTGTTGGGGATGGTTGGAAGAAAGTCAGGGGCGGCCAAACCAAAACGTGGCATCAGTGCTTGAAGACTGACTGATTGAACTTGGTTAGACAACTATTAAAAATCAGGAAATTCATCAGCGGTGCGCATCGATGACTTCAGCATATATCAAAATCAGAACATTCCGACCTTGCAGCGAGTATTTAACCTGTAGATCATTAAGCTTATAACCAATGGTTTATATGGTCTAAGTCAACAATGATTATTAGGATCATACTCAATCAAACCATTCATCCTATTATATATAAGAAAAGAACATACTTATCACCAGTATTCGGTTGTGGTAAAACAAGGCGCATTAATTCTTCATCCTGTTGTCTAATAATTGCTTCACAAAATTGATTTTTCTTGGTTAATTCCTTTGGATCATCATCATCATCATCATTATCATATTCCATTAGGGTACATTTTTTAGGTGAGATACTTAACCAAATTATACAACGTAAACAACCATTAATATTATTTTCATTCAAGACAAGTGAATGTAAAGCAGCTTGAAAATATTCCATAAAATTGATTTCATCATAACCATTTCTTTTATTATCTATATTCAATAGGTGAGAAAAAGAAAGAAATTTATAAATGAAATAAAATGATAAATAAGTAGTAGTAGGGGCGGCCAAACCAAAACGTGGCATCAGTCCTTGAAGTCACTAACTTCTAGTCTGAGCCATGTTAAGAGATGCAGACTACTTGGTTGGGGTTCACGTGACTGTTCTAATGAATGGTTGGAGACTCTGTGTGATATGTCTCAGAATCGATCACAATGGCTTGGGTGAATACACTCTTTGTCTTCCCTTAAACTAAGAGATTAAAATCGCTTCATATATTTCTTTCTACGAACTAATTCTTTCTTCCTGCACTATATCTTTATTGCAATCTTTCTTTTATATACTACCACCTCTGCATTAACTACTTTTATGAATCCGGTGTTCATCTTGTTGTGCTAATGAGGTATGGCAACTTGGACCGATGCATATATGTGTCTGGTCCTAAGTTGTAGCTGACTGACTGACTGATATAAAAACAAATGAAATTCTGAGATGATAGAGAAGATTTGTAGCTCAGATGTATGATTTTGATGGAATTTTATTCTCTAAGCTGGATGGTTTAGTCATGGAGCTTTCATTGTTCTTCTGAACGATATCATTAGCACAAACTTCAGATAGAAGTGAAGTGTTCGAATTTCTCCACATGTGATTCACAACTTGTTCTGTAGATCTTGATGTTGATTCGTTCTTGTTGACCTTAAACCTATCATTGTTTACTTTTACAAATGAAAGTTTATGACATAACAGTTGGAAATTATTCAGTTTTTTTATCAATAAGCTTAATATCCGAATCTCAGTTCAATGATTTCAGTTCAGAAACATATATTATATAAAACCTAATCAAACATGTGCAAATAAATATATCGATATGATCAGAGTTATATAATTGATAGACATGGTCTGAGTTATTAATTAACATTTTAAGTTAATGATCACTGATTCAGATTCATACTGTTACATAACTGGAATAATCTTATTGGACAGTCTATTCCATTGTTGCTACCTTGACGTGATAGTCGAGCTTGCCTATCGTGATGAACCAATCGAGCTATACTGACTGGAAAAATCGTTACTCAAGGACCTACCATGTCACACAGGTCGGTTGAAGAACGGTAAGACTAAAATCAACAAACCCAAGGTTCAAAGGCGAAGTCGTACTTCTGGCCGTACAGAGGTGTGATGGCAGTAAGGTGTTTCATTCAGACAACTAGCATAAAAGCCAAGCTGCCTTCCCACAAGGAGGGATGAGGTTAGAAATGGTCGACCCTAAATACGCACACCTTACCTTATCCTACGGATATCCATCTCTGGCGATAAGGTCTCAACAAGTACGGAACTAAAAGAAAAATCGCTCACAACAAGGTCGTGTGTGACCGACCTCAAGGAGTTGTCCGTTGGGAACTGAGGTCACGCTCGTAGGTTACTAAGACCACCTCTAGTCCAATTTCTTTTACAGGTGCCTCTAGAAGAACCCTTCGAGAGTATAGGGAACTGGGAAGTGATAACCGCCCTCATACTCCCATCAGCACTCAAGACCACTAACTGACTGACAATTAGCATAAACTATTTAATTACACTTTCATTGTAATTTTATATTAATCAATAATGCAATGAGTGATGCTTTTCCTAAACACTACTTCAGAATGGGTTTTGTGCAGATCTTAGTAATTTTATTAGTTGAATTCATGAGTCAACTGAAGCTACAGCACTACAAATAACCTGGAAGCACTGGATGGCCGTTTCGTTCTAGTATGGGATTCGTCAGCGGTGCGCATCAACGACCCCGCCCCGCGAGATCTGAACCTATATCCTAGCCTTTATCTTCTGACATTCTGTCGCTCTATGGGATATGGGGTTCTATGAGGAGGGTAGTAGTTATATTTGTTGTCCAGTCATATGTTATCAATGCAAATCTGTTCCCGATTGATTGATCACTGAGTGGTGGGTGAGCGATGTCATGTGTGTCAGGTCCTTCCTAATGCAGATCGAGAGCTTTCGGCCAAGTTGCAATGTGGCAATGTGGATTGATTTGTATCATAAAAGATCATTATATCTCTTAAATTGATTGCTCTTTTAAGATTCATTCGGTTGTGATTTAAGGGTTTGTAATTATTTTAACTGAATACTTATTTGATCAGTATTTCAGTTTATCAACTATTGTTTCGTAGTAATTACACATATTATGTAACTCGGGTGGATTGAATAAACAATAATTTATTTGTATACTATGTCAAGTAACGCTGATCGATAAAGTTAGCTGATGAAAACGATATCATACATATAAATTGATCTACTTATTCTGTCAACAACAAAAAGTCTTGAATGTCAGTAAAGGAACAAGAAGAAGATCCACTGTGAAATTGATGTGTTAGAAAGAAGGTTAAATTACAAAAAAAATTCAATATCATCCGGATGAGAGATTTGTGAAAACTATTCAATTTGATGGTGATTTACACCGTGCACTAAAAACCAGGTTAAGTACACTATCTAGATAAGCCTAATAACACAGTCATCAGTAGTGTGTACGTATGACCTAGCCAGAGATCGAACTTAGGACATTTAAGCCTCTCCCTAGTAGTTGCAAAACAAATTTAAGCAGTGATTATGACATCTAAGAGTAAGAAAAACTTGGAATAATTGTGTATCGTATCAAATCACTGCGCTTTACATTCACAAGAAGAGGGTGTCATTTTAAAAAACATAAAAGAAAATGTGCAAAATGCTCATTTACAATTGTGAATTAGAACAACATGGATTTTAGAGATATAATAACTCTGTTTAATGAATATGTGAGGCTTCTAAAAAATCTAATTGTATCACAGTATATATGAGAGGGAAGTTATTCTGTAGGCTTAAATGAGAGTGTTTTAAAGTTCCAAGTGAACTATCAGATTATTGAATTAATGGTAATTCGTTGATTGTCTCCTTCATATTGAATAGGACGTATTACTATGATCACTATTACATTGAGTTCAAGATATCGTTGTGGTTATATTGGCGTTTGAAGCCGCAACTTGACTCGAATAGAACAGAAATCATTCTCTACAGAGATGTCTGAAATTAAGCTTCAACAAATATTAGTTTTCAGAGGCCATTTATAAGATTTTGATTACCAATCATAGTAGTTTTCAATAATACAATACCAGAATTATTGTCATTTATACTGATATCATTCATCTTGTCGTAACCAAGTTAAGATATTTTAGGATACAAGTTGAACTACTTTTAAAATAACAAGTAGTATTTTAGCATTATCACAAAATTCAATAAATTACATTAGTTTGATACCTTTGTTTAAATCTTCTATGTAATACATTATGAGTACTCAAACAGAAAACAGATAAACAAATAGACTAAACAATTATTTCAGATATAAAGAGATACACAAGTTATGTGTGTGTGTAGTATGGGCATGAATGAACGACAAAACTAATCAGATATTTGCGCACACCCACACACACACACGTTCATCTACGACAATAGTAAACATACCTTTGGAATCATCTGTTTTTTCAGGTTCTATTGAAGACAAATGAGAATCTTCTCGACAATTCTAGAGTATACAGAAAAGAATGGATGAATGAATGGAAAATCATAACATCATCGCAAATATAAATAACAATAGGAAGATACAAGTGAAACAACAACAAGGGAATTTAAACTTCACCTCATTGCTAAAACAGGTGGCTATCAGGACTCAGTAGCTAAGTGGAGAACGCGATGGTGTTTAAAGTGAAGGGCAATGGGTTGGAGTCCCGGAGTGAACAGTCAGTCAGTCAGCTACAACATAGGACCAGGCACATATGTGCATCGGTCCAAGTTGCCATACCTCATTAGCACAACAAGATGAACACCAGATTCATAGGAGTGGGATGCAGGTACATTCAGCTGACGATTCCTAAATAGGACAAAACGCGTATCCTGGGTTTCACTGCTACCCACTATCCATCTTTGCTTAAAAAGCTTGTGATTTAAGGCTATATCGAGGCAATCTGCATTGGATGCACATATACCAACATGAGACTGATCAATTGCATTCGTAAATAACAATGGGAAGACACAAGTAAAATAACACGAAGTGAATTAGAATAACAAGAACTCTGTAAATAATTCGAAGAATGGGAAGAAAATATTAATTTTTATACTGTATCAGTACAATTAAAGTAGCCAGTAATGTTTCACAAAAAGCAAACACAAAATGATCATATTTAGTACATTCAGCATTCGGTTATCGGTAGAATCAAGGATGATTGTTTTGTTTTCTATTTGGGATTCGTCAGCTGGCAATATGCCAGAATCCTATTACTGATGTTCACACTGAGATTTGAGCCCGGTATCTTTAAACTCCAATGCGTTAACTACTGAATTTATGAGTTCAGATAACTATTAATTTATTCAAACAGACGTCGAGGTTGACTGTCACTCCAAGATAAAGAAAAAGAAAGACATGGGTATGTGTTATACCGTAAAGAAGAGCACAGACTTCAGTATCCAATCATTAATCAAAAACTCGTTGTCGATCTTCTTTGGTTAATCAGTCACAGCTTAGATTAGCTAAATACACAACGATGAACTAACGAAACAAATTGCAAAAAGTATCTAAACTAGGGCTTAGGGATAACAGTTTGATAAAAAAAACCAAAATGTTTGAAGTATGCTGAACTGTAAGTTATGAAGTTCATCAATTACGAAAACTAGTAGTATGGTGTGTGCTACTTATATTGGCATAAGTAGTATATGATGTTAGTCGTAAACAGAAGGTCTGGCAGCAGAGACACAAGAGAATCGAACAGTAAAGAATGGAAATAGAATGCAATTTGTATGAAAATGCAAGAATAATGAAGTCTAAGTCATTATGAGACAATCGATGGACATTTTGCAAATTAAGCATTTACATTATGATTGTTAGATTATTAAATACATCCGATTGTTCCCCACTGGTGTTCTTGTTCACTACAATAGTCATAATGTTTATTCAATTATGTTATAACTTGGTCTAAGAGTTTTAGAATCAGTTCTCTTATGTTATCCCCTCTATTAAATTGAAAAATATCCTGTCCAATTTTTAAATTACCTAAGGATTTCACCCCAATTTGAGTTCAATCTTATTTGTTTTATAGAAAATTCTTCTAAATTAAATGTGAACTGATATCGAGAGTCAACTAGAAGTAGCTTAATGAGAAAGTCGACTGATAGTAATCAGAAATGACCTGAAGGATAAGTGCATTTCATCCAATATAATTTCTCGCTCACTTTTGTGTTGAGTAGGGGGGGGTGAGAAGCGCATAGCACACCGTGTATTAGTATCAGATGTTGAAAACCACTCCTCACAACATGAACATTAAGAAAACTTACATGCCTTGAAGTTGTCGACAAAGAACTAAGTGGATCTGTAAATTAAAAAAAATGACATAGAACTGTTAACAATATTTTGAAATACATCAATTTAAATAGAATTGTATTATGATTTATCATTTAGATCGACTAAAAACGAGCATTTGTGTCAGTCAGTCAGTCAGTAACAACTCAGAACTTCGTACGTATATACATCAGTTCAAGTTGCCATACCACATTAGCACAGAGATGCAGTTGTCGACTCAAATTCCGTCGTGGTAGAGGTAGTAAGAGTATAAGCAGTAATCTCAAAGATTAAGGCTTAAAGATGTTATTCAAGGAGTACGATCCAGTGAAATAAATTTAGAAAGAGGAAAATAAAGGACACGAAAAATTCAGAAGATTAGAATTTGGGAGATCACAAAGAATGAATGCACTTGCGCCATTGCAAACGATTCTGAGCCATGTCATTCATGGTCTCTATCCATCGGTTGCTATCATCTCGCGGTCCCCAACCAGGTAGTCTACATCTACCAAAATGTCTCAGTCAATTTGTCAGTGACTTCATGGGTTTGTGTCATGTTTTGGTCTGGCCGCCCATAGCTTTCTTCAAATCTACTCCTATACCACTGAACATCGCACGTCGAGGCAGTCGGTGGTTGGGAATAAGTAACACGTGTCACACTTGAATTACCATCTTATGGTTAAAATAAAAAGGTTGATGAAGATTCAACAAATATTCTTGAAGTTTTCAGAAAGAAGTGAATATGCAACTCAGTGATTTACTGTACTGTTAATTAATGCAGTTAAATCTAGTAACATTCTAATTTGTAAACACGTAATTAGTTATTGAGTAATTCATATTGATAAGTCCTGCGCTAATTGAACGCTAGATTTGGTTCCTAAGCTTTTCTAGTAACCCCGAGGCTAGATCTACACAGCGACTTGGACACAAGAGGAAAGGCGCGAAATGTGGAAGAAACACTTTACTCCAAAGGTTTGTTCATGTACAAAAAAATCTAGGATTTTTATAGTATTTTAGATGTCCTCGAGTTCCCGGGAAATTCTGGAATGCTAATAAACATAGTAGCAGTATAAGTAATCATTCAATCAGAAACTCGACATGTGACTTTTCACTTTCTAGATGTTTTTGACAAAACGTCTAGTGAACACTGATAGGATAAGATGCTTCTCGGTGTTTTCAGAGCCTTTCTTGGCTCTTTTTTGAGGAGTTTTCTGAATCTTCCCAACATATATTGTAATGAATTGGGGAAGACCAATTTATTGTTTAAAGCAAAATTACAGAGTTCTTTCGTAAAATGTGAAAATCATACATTAATTACTTCATTTGAAAATCTTTCATCAATTCTTCTTAACATTCTGTATAATTCTTCCAATTCACCATTCCTATCTATATCAATTCGATCTTCTTACTCTTCTGATGCCAGGCATTGCACTGCTGATTGATGTTACGTACTACTTATGTCGGCAGATATAAGTAGCATACACCACGGTATCATATACTGCCTTGTTCAATATTCAATATATTCATACTTGCCTAATAGCCACCAGTTCTGTTAGCGGAATATATAGATTGGGTTAAAGCACGTTCCGTGTAGAAATATCTTGGGGCACTCTGATTGGCTAATTATTATCCAATCAGAGCTAGTGGGTACGTAAAGAAGATTCTAGAACCTTCTCGTGTAAAAAGCATAAATATACAAACATTTTTCTTATTGTAGTTCCTACTTCCATCTACCCTTGTTATTTGGAATATAATTTTGTTCCTGTTCAACCATGTTCTGATTTGGGGACTTGTTGAGTAAAGCAGTGTCCAAAACTACTAAACAATAGGAATATCTGGGTCGTAATAAGAGGGGATTATAACAATTTCTGTAAATCATATACAGCAGCATAGTTTTTGAATCAGTGGTGGACTGAATGGTTGCATTCGTTGTAAATTAGAGTATGGTACATAGCTAAATCTTCATTTACAGGCTTGTTTTCTTCCTTCAGTTGAATAATATCAAACTTTATCCTATCAATAGTAGAAAGTGACAAATTGTGTCGTTACTTATAAAAAAGATAACGGTTTTCCGACGGATATCAAAAGTACCATCACAAAATACAATACTCAGTATGTTTGAAATAATTAAATGTTATTCTGAAACTTGGAGAACTAACACAACCATCATCAAGAAGGTACAAGTATTTATAAATAATTGTCTACGCAAGATACTCAACATCTATTCGCCGGATAACATCAGCAACAGCCTACTGTGAGAGAGAACACAACAGCTTCCAACTGAAGAAAAAATTAGGAAAAGACGTTGAAAATGGATAAGACATACATTACGCAAATCATCAAACTGCATCACGAGGCAAGTCCTAACTTGGAATCCTGAAGGGAAACGGAGAAGAGGAAGGCCAAAAAACACATAACATCAAGAAATAGAAGCAAATATGAAAAGGATGAATAACAACTGGAAAGAGCTGGAAAGGATTGCTTGGGACAGGTTTGTATGGAGAATGGTGATGGGCGGCCTATGCTCCTCCACGAGGAGTAACAGAAGTAAGTAAGTAATTAAGTAAGTATCCTTCCATCTGGTTTACTTCAACTGTTCAATAAAAAAACACGAAAAAAGTTGACGATTTGATTTCGCAAGTCATTTTGTTTCGCGAATTATATGCAAAGAGGGATTCCGGCTAACAGTGGAGCTCGGGATGCGCACTTAGTCCTATTTGGGATTCCTCAGCTGGATGTATCCCCTTGTAACTTAGTGGCAATATCAAGGCGATACTCATAGGATGCATATATGCTACAAGAGACTGAACAATCGCATTCTTAAACACTTCCTTATGAAAGGTTGTGATTTTTCCCCATTTTTTACGACGATGATAATCAGAATAATGATAGGGGTACATAGTCAGCCAAAGATTTTAAGAATATTAATTATTAAACAGCAGTATATATATGCTTGAATCTTATTAAGTGACTCGACTTTTCATTCGAACCTTTATTCAACTGTTAGTTTCCCTCTATATCCGCTAGCTCGTATTAGCATTTCTGTTCGAATTCGCATGGTGTGCTTGTGGTTTAGTGATATGTGCTATTCAATAATCAACTGTGGTCAGCGCTTCGTGTTGTCTTCTGAATTCATATACTGTTGGGATTTACTTATTAACGGTTATCGGGGCGATTGATATACGAGGCCTCAGAAATTATCTCGAAGACAAATTTACACAGGTTAACAATAATGACACGTAAAAGGTTATCAGGAATTTCAAAACATTTTTTGCAAACTACAACAGTCCTACTCACTGCCTTCTTATTGCTAGGTTGTTGATTACAAAACTGAGAGGAAGAAAAGCTATTATCTGACGCACAAACCGGGTTGGTGGACATGAAACAACCACTTATGGGGATTGAAAAACCTTAATTGAAACCAGTGCTGCAAATAGGGTTCAGAGTCTCGAAAGAACAAATGGTGTATGAATCTATCGTTGGTCACCGGGTACCAAGAGATTGCATCTTCTAACGTTGACCCACTACCTTTTGGATAAGGTCTCTAGGTCAAAGGCACGGGTGTGGCCTCTTAAGTAAATTACCTACTTCGATTTGGGCACTTGGGAAGTATCCCAGACCGTACACGAGTTGATTAATAACTGCTTTGCATGGCATATATATATATGAGTATAGTTTAAGGTACCCTACTCTTTTAAACCGTGATATGAAGATAAATAAATAAATACCAATAATAATTACCGAAATCATTATTGTGAATAGATGAAAGTGTATTCTCACGATTCAATGTGATGATATCTACTTTATTTATTCCTGATGGTTGAACAACTTCCAATTTTTCTTCTACTTCATTGTAATCGCCATCTCCATTAATTTTTTTGTCTTCTGTTTCAAAATCATCTTCATAAACTCCATAAATTTGAAAAACAAATAGTAGAGTTTGAAAATTTTGTTCAAAATTATATACTACTGAATTTTAGAAAAGTAAACACGAATATTACCTAAATAAAATGATTGATTGATAGGATTGAATAATAAAAAAAATGAAACAATGAAATGACACAGAATGATCGATGATCATGGGAATCCTAATAAACCTGAATTCATTGTTATCATTACAAATTTGGATAATTACGTTGAAATTGTTAATTGCCATGTGATATATTAGCTGATATCTTAAGTTTCTGTCCATATATATATGACTACTGATCATTTGGATATTAAAACTACTTAAAGTGAACGATTAAAATACTAACGTACTAGCCAATTCTTAGATCACTAGAATCATTCATAGTTTTAATTGATTTTAGTGGAACTACCACTGAAAACTTGGAAGTATTGAAGTGTCGTCCGATCCTAGCATGGGATTCCTCAACATAGTAGATCCAAAAACTCGCATCTGGGAATCAAACCCAGAACCTATAATTTTGCACACGAACGTTTAACCTTTAGATCAATGAGCTGGCATCCACACAGTGTTGCTGTCTAACTTCAATCAGTCCATCACATTTAACATACTTCACCCGTTACCTAAGGTTGATTAACTGTCTTTATTAGATTTTACTAGTCATTGCTCCTCCATAAAACTTCAATAAATGCATCTTGAAACTAGCCACTAGTAAGCCCACGATTATTATTAGTATAGTAGAATTTTCATAGGTTAGAACCATTAACAAACGAATTTCGAATAAAATCAGTAAGTAAAAAATAGTGAAGGCATCACTTCAACATTAATTTCATTATGAAAAAGTATTAAAAAATACAACTATGCGATCATCAGGAAACCTGAAAGAAGATTCTGGAATCTGGAAGATATTATTCAAGAGTTGACACTTGACTAACCAAATTTAAAAAGAAGTTAAAGTGTGTTAACTTCTACTGTTTTCTAAAAACTTTAGTGTGGTCCTTCATTTAAACGTCAATTAGATCGGATGATGTTGTCCACGGGCACTTATGTGTCCCAATTAGTTTGTATAAATGTTATTGAAATACCTATGATTATTCATGACGGATCTCACTAAAGTCGTGAGCCCGACGTGATCAGCCCGTGCTGGTTTAGTGTTCCTAGTTGATCGTTTCCATCGCCACCTACTCAGAACGTGTCGGAGCTGATCTACCTGTTTATTTGGCAGCTGTCCTCAGGTACCTAGCGGATGAATTTCTCGAGTTAGCTGCCATTGCCGCTCGTGACAACAAGACGACCTGTATTATCCCTCGTCACCTACAACTGGTCATCTGCAATAACAAAGAGTTGAGCAAACTTCTCAGTGGTGTAACTATCGATTAGGGAGTTGGTACACAAGCCTTCTCTACTGTGTGTCCTTTTGTTTCGCTTCACTATTCCTTCTTCGATGCGATTCTCTGGTTGTCTATTCCAATCAATGAGTGTACAAAATATACTTATTCAAACATCCATTCTCGTATTTGACTTATTTAACTCCGTTATTCATTAACGCGATTTAAGTCGATGACTATATACGAGGATTGATGATATATACATATATTTCGATAGAAATCATTCATGCGATCTAATTGGGGTCAGATATAGGGTCATAAAACAAAAACATGAACTGATCATAAATAATTTTGGATATTTGTCAACTTTTTGAGAATCTTCCAAACAATTAAAGCATCCTAGATGTGTGTCTATTTCTATTTAAGACTAGTTAGCTAAATATATCTATATTCCAATGTTAATGCTCAATATTGAGAAAGGAACCTGTCAAACATTAACTTGTAACATTAAAAGACTCTCCAGTGAGATTAACAGTTATGATATTTATCCTGTTATTATTATTGGTGGTGTTATGACTTTAAGTTGGGTCGTTTTTTACCCTGTGCTAATTGTTGTGTCCTTGACTGAAGAGATTAGAGAACAGCGTATTTATCGATCGATTACAGTGACACGTAAACACGTATGGACGGCCTAGAGTCTCGATTGGTTTGCGCTTCCTTGTCTAGCCCAGTCAGTTGAGTCCAGAACACAAGCCACAGCCTCGGAGATATGAATCATTATATTTCAAACATACTTTGTTTATATACCAATCAAGCATACCACATCGTACCATAAAATAGAAAACAACATTTTGTACAATATTCAACAAGTGAACAGATATCGACCAATAGGAAATGTCCATCTAAAGCCCAAGGACACCATTGGACCTAACATGATAATTATTGGTCTATTCCTCCGCATCCACAACAGGTGGCTTTATTCAATATTATATTTTTGGTACAATGTAGAACTCTTAGCATTATGTATTCCAACAAGTTTCCGTTTCTTACTTCCTGGTCGATCCTGATGATAAACAATGAATGGTTGCGCCAGTTAGATATTAACAATTCAGGAATCGACATCTGATTAATTTACATACTTTTCAATGTATATTGCCAGCAATCAAGATGTCTCTTAATGAGCTCTTTTATAACTTGTAAAGCGAAATGTAAACTTTTTACAAATACACCTATATAGGTTATGAGACTAATAGGTATAATGATGTGTTAAAACACACAAGAAAACAGATAAGTTGTTGAAATATCCAGGAATAGGTAGCTCAGGTATCCAAGTAATCCGCCTTGATTATTAGTGAATCAGTATATAATTCAAATCTTCACTGAAAGTAACATGAAATTTCATTGAATTACCTTTCAAATCATCACTACTGTCATATTCATCTGCTTCTTCCTGTTGTATTTTGTTATCATTTTCATCAGTGGTGAATTTTTCTTTTCTTTTCATCTTTTCTTGCTGTTGTCGTTGTTTCAGCTTTTTAAGTGCTCGACATCTAAACACATTATGTTCGAACAAAGAATAAGTGATGTGAACAGGGAAACAAGAAGCCCTGACAAATTACGAAAGCTATTTTTCGGGATTTTACTCCATTTTATTCAAAGCTTGTAAAACACTAACATTTATTATTGTCCCTAATCTATTCTACAGAACATAAGCTTTCGTTTAATATATGATTCATTGCCATACCCTTTTCTGTTCCGAAGCTACTGTAATTTAAACATAATATTTTGCACCCTATTTTCTACTCTAATTCCCAGCTTCGGACATAATTGTTGTGATCGGGTTAGTCACCTATTTATTCATGTACCTTTTTACACTAATCCGGAAATCAGGAAATCGGGAATAGATCGAGTAGTGTTTCAGTTGTCTTGTCTTCTCTCATTCGCGTGCTTGTCAGCCAATCAGGTGATAGAATAGTTGTCTTCTCTCTACCCCACTTCGAACTCACACATACTAGCGTCAAAGTTAATTCGCTCAGCTTATCGCACCAAGGTTTTAATCTGGATTAAGTAAGTATCCTCAGCACCAAAAGTGGGTAGACAGTCCAAGGACATAACAATAAGTGAATAGCAACCTCCGGGAATTATTTAGAACTATTATGAATATATTCTTATTGTATAAGTATTAATTAACTAGATTATATAGTATATTCATATTCCTTTTATTTGACCTATTAGCTATTGCATTATGATTTACCATTGTTAATTTTTTCTTAATCTATTAGATACAGTCTCTCCTACCTATAACCACTTTTGGCTTGATCATGTATAGTGATTATTTTGCATTTCATGATGTGATGCGGTTTGATCTGCTTGTACATAAACCAAGCATGTTTAAAACATGTGATTCAGATAGAGGAGGCTGATATTTGTGTTCTGGACTAAATGGGCTGGGATAGGCGAGAAGCTATTATATGCAGACGGCCAATAAGGACTCAGAGTTGACTCAGGGATGCTAGTGCTTTTTGACATATTATTGGTTTAGCTCAGGGACGGCGTCATAGAAATCGATATTCTGATTGATGACTTTTGTCATGTGATATTTAGCAAGACCATAGTTCATAACAAAAAGTAAATTATTTTCTAAAATTTGAAAAGAATCTGTTGGCAACGTTTGGAATAATGGACAAGATACCCTGGGCCTAGGTTTTGCTGTTTTTGTTACTTGACATAAAAGAACACCTGTAATTTCGAATCTACATCAATCACCTTCACAGTTTGAGCTGTTACCATTGAGATATTCGACCAGCAGCTAACCTTTATCATAACTGAGATATTTTCTCGTATGACTTACTGACGAATACCAACTTGTATCAAATTCAGGTCAAGAAGTGTGTAATGTAGATTATCTCTAATCACGTAATAAAAAAACATGGTTCACAATGTCGGATGACTTTGACTGGTAGCCACAGTGTATCTTGATCGAAAGAATTCGATTAACACTAAATGATTGGACAAACATAACATAGTTCAGTACTCAGTGACCAATCAGTTGTAGTTTGTTGATAATACTTATAAAAACTGTTAACACATACAGCCATACAGCTTTGTTTGGTTGATTTCTCCATAAATTACTTCACTAACTGACAAAGCTTGTGAAATATCGTTAAATGACTCAAGTTGAATATGTAAAACACTGATTTCTGACTTTAAGATTTAAAACGTAGTGTCCTGAGTTAATGATGGTTGGATGAAATAAATGACTTCAGGATCTCAGTTTTGTAGGTTCCTCTTTTCTCAACGAATTAAGATTTGACTGTTTGGTATCATCAAGAAAAGGGATTTTGTAGAGATTTTCCCACAGAACATTGACAAGCTAATTAATCTGTTGCCGATTCTCAAATTATTTTTGTAAACCATCATCAAGTACATGAATGAATATGTTTCACTTACCTAAAGCATGGAAATGAACCTTCAACAGATAAATAGATAAAATGGCCATGTTTTCCACCAATACGAGCTCCTTGTCTATGCCGATACTCACAACATGCACTAATACGTGTATCCTGTGTACCATCAACATAAATAGTTAGGGAAAACGGAAAACCATATACTCGTTTCGAAATAATCTGGAATGTATCTGGATTAATTGTAGAGAAACCAAAATGTGAAAACAATAGTGCTGTATTATGTTATACTACTAATTAAATGGTTTAAGTAGTATGAAACACTTAGATAATAACTACTGAGGCACCTACGTAGTGGTTTTCGCTTGTGACTATGTAATTTAGGATGTGTTTTTTTTATCCGTTTTCAGACTCGTCATGTTAACACACTTACAACAACCACAGCCTTAATCTCAAGGGGGTTCGGATGCACACTTCCGTGGAGTAACAAGTTAGGATTATTATTTTATTTTATTTTAACACATAGATATTGGTACAACGAGGCACCAAATACATATGCGCCACACAAATCTCATTTGGTTTGTGTGATACTGCCCGGGTGCCCAAATCGAAGTAGGTGGTTTTATTAGAGGGTCACACACAGAGCCTTCGACCTGAAGGTCTGATCCACAAGGCAGTGGAGCATCGTAAGGAGATGCAGTCCTATGGTAGCCGATGGCCTACGATTGGTTCATGTGCCATTTGTTCCGGCAGGATACTGGAGCCCATGTGCACCATTGGTTTGGAATCCAATTAAAGAGCCGGACATTCACTTTTCGTCCTCTCGTTTTCGTAAACAACATCCGTGGTGCGAGAAGGCAGTGAGTAGGACTTCCCTGGCCGAGGCTATATACGCGTGGCCATGTGAGAGCATTTTGAGAGGGAGAGAGGACTCTCTCTACTCTCGGCCGTACTAGGGCATTCGGGGGCCAAGTTAGGATGATGTAGATATTCAGTGTGTCACAACTTTCAATGATCCGCCTTATTTTGTTGTCAGTTCGAGATGAAAACTATCTCAGGGTTGAAAAAGTCCCTTACTTTCTCTATGAAATAAAGTTTGTATTAAGAGAACTAACAGCTTGTTGTATTCGAATAGATAAAGAATTGAATTATTCATACTTCTAGCATTAAGAACTAGACAGTGCACTAGATAAATAGATTATGATATTCGATCCATGATATACTGAACAAAGTCATTTTTCCTTTCGATTAGGAACTATATATGGACCAGAATGAGAGTTTATTAACATACGATACAAAGTAGTCAACTAGTGAAACAGATTGAAACAAATAGTAAATAAGATATTTAGTGTTACTGGTTATATCTATCATCGCTCTTTAAACAATCACAGTTTACATTCATCAGACACATCATAGTGTTAAGATTCAAATGATACTTAACTATTTCATCGCGAAAATATTTCAAATTAGTGTAATAAACTGAAGCTTATGATAGACGTTTCAAATGAACTTAATTATGTAACCAATATCTCCATTACATACATATATAGACCAACTCGTTGAAATCGAGACGAAACTTTTCAAGACAAATTCAACTTCTTTTAAAGCGAAAACAGTAATCACTTGTCAAATGGTTTAAATAAAGAATAATTCATCTACTTGGACTTATTACTTACAGGTAAGATAATCCAAATGCATGTCAAGTAATAAAATGTAGACATACAAGTTTATTTATTTGACACATAAACATTATTACAAGGGGGCACCAAATACACACCATAACAATGAGGTCAGTAGCAGTTATCATTGATTTGTGTGTGGGCTGTGATATTGTCCAGGTGCCCAGACCGAAACAGATGGTTTACTTAGGAGTTCATACCCGGAACCATCAACGTAAAAGTCTAGTCTACATGGCAATGAAGCAACTTTAGGAAATGCAGTCTCATAGTAGCCTGTAATCAACAGTAGGTTCATAAGCCTTTTGTTCCTTCAGGATCCTGGAGCTCATGTGTACCATCGGTTTGAAATCAGGGTTTTCATACTCCCCTAGGTGGACTCTCTGTGTCCATCACCCTGGTCAAAGCGCCGGACAATTTCATAAACAACACCTCCTTTGCTAAAAGGCAGTGAGTAGGACTTCCCTGGCAGTGGTTGTATACACATGACCATGTGAGATCATTTCGAGAGAGAGGGAAGGAGAGAGTGGGTTCTCTCCACCCTCTGCCGTAACAAGGCATTTGGGGGCATCCAAGTAATCTGACTCTTGTTAAATCTTAGTTATCTGAATCGAAATTAAAACTTTATTCTTAAATCTAAACAGGTGACCTATTGAATCCCAAAATAGTAATATTTCAATATCAAAAAATAATTATTAAAGATTTTTTTGATAGGAATATTCCTTACTAATGAACTAATCACATTTAAAATAGCGCGTCCTGAATTTTTCCGCGAAATTCAAAATAACGTAAAGAATAACTGTTATGTAAAACATAAGAATAATTAGTTATTCAGATGTTGAAAACATTAAACAGAAATTGGGCGCCGAGTAAAGAGAAGTCATTATATGTGAAAATTATATTTGGAATAATCTCAGTGATTGAAAGTTGAATAATTCCAACGTTTCGTCCAGCTAATTTGTCTAGACTTCTTCAGATGATTTTGATCTTGATTATTACTCTGAAGAAGTCCATACAAGTTAGCTGGACGAAACGTTGGAATTATTCAACTTTCAATCGCTGAGATTATACCAAATATAATTTTCACATATAAGTAGTAAAAGTATACTTTCATAAATTGTTATTCTTACCACCTGGTTGAAGTAGACCTTTAAAAAGAGTATGTGTATTACCACCATTTGGTTGTTGAATTACTGTAATTAAACGTGACAATGATTGATTAGTATCATTATTATTATTCATAGAATTCTTTTCTTCTTTCTTATTCTTTTGTTGATCAATTGTATGTTGTATTTTTGACTCTTCTGTACTTGATATACCAAGATACATAAATTTGACAATACATGAAGTCTAAGACAAAAGTTGATTTCAAAACAAAAAAGTATAAAAAATTTTATGTTCTATAGAATGATATTACTCGGAACAGAATAAGAAAATAGATATCAATGTACCGATTATGACTCCGTTAAAAGAAGTTAATAATCCGAAGGGGTTTTGTGGAGATCTTAGTAGTTTTATGGTTGAATTTATGAGTCAATTAAAGCTAGACTACTATGGAAAACCTGGAAACATTGGACGGCCGTTTCGTTCTGGTATGGGACTCCTCAGTGGCAGTGCGCATTCACGATTCCGCCCCCCCGCGAGATTCGAACCCAGGACCTATCAGTCTCGCTTGCGAGAGCTTAACCGCTAGACTACAGAGCCGGCTGGCATACAATGGTGTTAATGTCAGTGGTAGATGTGTCGCTCAATTCCGTGGGTTGGTTGGAGTTAAACAATGACACCGTTGGATGCCGGCCATTTCAGTTGTCTAGAGGTTAAACATTCACGCGCGACGCTAAAGTCTCTAAGTTCGAATCTTGAGGAGCGGGATCGTGGATGTGCATTGCTGCTGAGGAGTCCCATCCTATGACGAAACAGCCGTTTTCCATGGTGGTCTAGATTCAATTGATTCATGAATTCAACTATAAAATTACTAAGATATCCACAAAAACCCCTTCTGATATTAATAAAATATTTGTTTTATAATTTCCATTGCATGATAAAGCTCTACTCAGATACATCTGTTTTTACTTTCGTATCGTTTATGTATACCAATGCTTTCTATTCCGTTAATACCATAGTTACTGAGATAATTAACAATTAGCATACATAGATATATTGTGATATCTATGAATTAATATGTGCTTAGATGCATTTAACTCAGTTTAGTTAGACTGAAAAAATAAATAAATAGATGAAAATACCGCTGTATTCCTGATTTTTGTTGTAATGTAAGCTGTTTGTAAGTACCCATCTCATATGCTCAACTCCGTCGGTATGAACAGGATGTTTCCTTCTAAAAGAGATCATACTTTAACATTGGTTAAGAAACATAGACATTTCATTCCAAGACCTAATTTCCAATATATTAGGGTGTTTTTCAATCCTGGAAGTTGAGCTGTTCTATACTAAAATGCCCATAGCCAATAGCTGACGATAACCCTAGACACTTGAGATGTAGCCTTCAGTGAATATTACCCTTTTATAAGTGGCACTCATTAAATTAATGAACGGATTAATGTCCAAACCGGTTAAATGTATAATATAAGTGTAAGATTATGGAGATTATTGAGTCCCATTAAAATCATGAACCGATTAATGTTAGACTACCATTAAAAACCTGGAGGTACTGGATGACCGTTTCGTCCTAGTATGGGGTTTCTCAGTAGTGCTCATCCTCGATCCTGCATTTCTAGTGAGAAGCCGTCACCAACAGAGTTCAATGTGTCAGGTGTGAGACAGTTGAGACAGATGATCACACAACATTGCAGATTGATTAAAATCATACAATAACACTGTTTGATCCCAAGTCAGTGATCTAGAGGTTAAGTGCTCGTGCGAGATACCATAGGTTTTGGGTTCGATTTCCGTGTGTGGGATATAATACATTACTTGGACTTCAATGTTACTTCACTTGATATCATTAGTGAATGATGAAAATTACAATATTAATAATTTACTATTAGGTGCAAATACATGTGAGTCGACTAATAATGTTTATTTCTATAGTGACAGTGATAACACATGCCATTATGTTAATCATTTTGATCAATAAGAATCGAGGTCGTTAGTTGCATCTTAATTCCATTAGATTTATAAGTGACCTATAAGTCGAATATATGTGCTAATCATTCAAAAGGAAATACATTTTCTAGGTCGATTATTTTGTCTTTTGAAGTCCACTTGTGTCGTTGTTGAGATGTCTATTTGTCAACCAAAGGGTGAGAATACGTCCTCAGTAGGGTGTTTTGTTTTTTCTCATATCCATGAAATATAATCGATGAAAGTAGACGATATTTTTGGGTCGACAAGAATTGATCATAGATGACTTTGAAACATTTTCTGTGTATGATGACGATCTAATGAGCAACATTAAAATCGAACATAAAGATATCAAGCAAACATGACAAATCGGTTGGTAATATCGCGAACTTTCATCGACTGAGAGATGTTTTCTGATGTAGGAAAGCTCAGGGTCATCAAATCAAAGCATGGCATCAATTCATAAATTCATCCACTGTTGACATGAACTGTGTTGGTAGATGCAGACTACCAGGTTAGGGTTTGCCCAATTACTGTGACCAATAGTTCAAAAAGTTGAATAACATGACTCAGAATCAGTCACAATGCTTTAGACTTATTTACTTGATCCTTCCTTCAATCATCAGTTTCAAACTTATCTTATACGTCTTATTCTGCAGATTTTTATCGAATTAAACTGTCCATAATTATTCTTTTCTGTTATTGCTTCTAAGTAAACTGGGATTTGCCCTTGTAATTTCTTTTCACTAAGCTGATGATAAAAACAATAGAAACTTTACTCAGTGTTATAGTCCGTTGGAATCACAAGTCAATTTAAGTCAACCAACAATTAAAAATCTATCATAAGACTCCTCAGCAGAGCCCATCCTCTACTCCGCAAGTCAAAATCACGACCTTCCGTATCGTGCGCGAACGCACAATATATATACCACTGAGCCGGGATCCAATGATGTTCTAGTAAGTGACCATGACCAGTGGAGTTCAACCATGTCGAATGTAAGGAAGATACCCATCGAAACCAATAGATGACCAAGCAACATCATAGGTTGATTAAAGTTGGACGTGTACACCGTTGGATTCCGGTTCATGTGTCTAAAAGGTTAAGAGCTTGAGCATGAGGTCAGAGTTCGCGAGTCCGATCCCAGGTTGTAGATTTGAGGTTGAGCATTGTTGAGGTGTCCCATACTAGCACGAAGCGGCCATTCACTGCCTCCAGGTTTCCATTGATGGTCTACCTTAGATATGTTCGTGATTTCGATGACATTCAGCAATCTCTACAACCTCCTACTATCAATATCACATGTTTAGTACAACATGGAATTGATGCAAATTTTGTTTTCCTGACTGATAAATCAATATGGTTTTCAAAAGTAATGATCATTTGATCAAACATTTAGATCAGTGTATACTTATCAATAATAATGACGACAATAAAAGTAATAATAACAATCGTACATATGCATTGTACTCCTTCGTTATAATAACAGTTGATAAATTGAGGCAATAAACCAACTGGGAACAATTAAAGAGACTATATGCAAAGAAGATGAATGATGAATGTATCTGCACTATCACAATAAATCCTAAGCCGTTTAATATGATGTCTCCAAACTTTATTTATGATAAACACGCTGACTATAACCAGGTAATATTCATCTACTATTAATGAGTCAGTTCAACAATCATGATCTCATAAACTGATATCATATCTAAGATGGTGGAGAAGATTTGTAGCTCAAGTGGATGATTTTGATGGAGTTTTGTTCTCTGACCAAACTATCCAGCTCAGAGAATAAAACTCCATCAAGATATCATATCTAGGTTTGGTTGATTTAGTATTTTTTCTAACATAGCCCTACACCGGTCAACAATGCTCGTCGAGATCTATGAAAGTAACACTGGATTATAACATACTGATTCATGATCGGATTTGAAATAGCATCTATTGATTAGCACCGGTTATTGAGTAATCAATAACTCATTAAAGTGCTACATTCAGTAAATATTGGTTGATTTACTAAGTTATTCGCTGTGGTTTTTGACAATTGTCCGAGTTTGATACTAGTCTATACTCTTATATGCGTGTCCAACTAGCTACATGAGTGGAAAAACCGAGAGTGATTAGGAAACCGTACTGTCTAGGGGAATGAAACATGCATACAAACTCATTCATAGACATAGATATGTATCTTTCAAGTGTTCAAGTCAAATTTTCAATTAATAGCATTCAATAATATTGTACGTAACAATCATTTTGATGTAAAATACTTTTTAATAGTTTATATCAAGAACAGATTTTGGCCAGATCATCAATGAAAACCTGCTGCTTCATTCTATTGTGGGACTTCAGTTTACGATAATTCACAATCTCCATCTATTTCCTGGGTTGGATAACTATTCAACACCCGATATGAATGAATATCACTGATCCCAGATTCTCATTCAGACTCCAAGAATCGCAACTTGAAGCTAGTCACTATTGAGCCAATGGAGTCTAACCATGTTGTATGTGGGACAGTTATCCGCCACATGGAATGAATGAAGGATGCACAATACTGTGAATTGATTGAGGTTACACATTAACACTGTTAGATCCCAGGTCAGGAGTCTAGAGTTCAAGTGTTTGAATGTGAAACTAAAGATCCTGGGTTCAAGTCCCAGATGAGGCGTCACGGATACGCACTGTTGAGGAGTCCCGTACTAAGATGAAACAAACATCTAATACTTCTATACTTTTAATGGTAGTCTACCGAAAATTAGTTCGTCATTTAAACTATGAAAATTCTACAATCTTCATATATCCCCCCTATACTACACTGTATATATATGCTAATCTTGAAACTTTTCAAAACTTAAACAGTGCGAGACAATAATTGATAGTAAATTTTAAGGTCGTTGAAAGGTTGAAAAAGTACTCAGAATATATAAGTACAGATTGTATAAATTTATGGTTATATACAAATATTAGAAAGCTATTATAATAGCTATTCATTATATTATTTTAATGTAATAATCATCTATATTAAGCAACGAATTTCAATAATGACTAAATTATCTCCTCAACAAAAGATGGTACATTGTTGTAGGTAGTGAATAGTACGATATACAAATCAAATCAATCTCCACAAAACTATATTAACCTGACCGCTGCTGCTATCTTGATGTGGTAGTCAGGTTTACCTATCGTAATGAATAAATCAAACTATACTGGATGAAACAATCGTCCTACCATGCCAAGTAGTTCGGTTGGAAAGCTGTAAGACTAAAAGCAACAAACCCAAGGTTCGAGGGTGAAGCCGTACTTCTGGCTGTACAGAGGTGTGATGGCAGTAAAATGTTTCGTTCAGACAACCAGCATAACAGCGATGCTGCCTTCCTACAAGGAGTAGTGGGGTTAGAGGAGGTCGAACCTAAAAATGCACACCTCACTTTATCCCACGGATATATGTCCCCGGCGATAAGGTCTCAACAAGTACGGAGCTAAAAAGAAAATTACTCACAAATAGGTTGTGTGTGACCGACCTCAAACAGTTGTCCCTCAGGCACTACGGTTACACTCTCAGGTCACTAAGACCAACTCTGACGTGATTTCCTTTCCAGGTACCTCTAGAAGAACCCTTCCACGCTGTAGGAAACCGGCAAGTGATAACCGCCCTCATATCTCTAACAGCATTCAAAATCGCTGTATTAATCTGCTTGCCAGTTCCTGAAATTCTAGTGGGAAGTTGTGACAGGTGGAATTCAGACATGTCTGAAGTGGAACAACTGTATTAGATTATCATCGGCCGACATAACAAATTGAATGAAGTTGGAACCATACCATTAGACACCTTTCTAGAGGATCTAATGGTTAAACATTCACCATGAAGTTAGGAGACCCTAAGTTAATCTACTGGCAAATTCGTGAATGCAAACGTTTGAAAAGTTTCTTAGTAGTAGAAGCTGTCCAAAGCTAACTGATTTTTAACGGCACGACATTTAACATCAAATATGCAATGAATATAACAAATGAATAATGTACTTCCTAACAGTCATCGATTCGTCCACTTTGATTAGTATCTTAGCGTTTCTTTTCTCTCTCTCTCTTCCTAATCATGACATGGAATACAATAACCTCAGCTAACTAAACGGTAATATTGAGGAGATCTGCTTAGGATGTAAACATTAGTCCTTAACAATAACAACAGGAAAATACAAACCTGTATAAATCAAATTTCATCGTCTAAGATTATTCTTAGTTAGGAAATCATGATATTTCATCTAACTATTAGGTATTCTAATTAAGAATAAACACAATTCCCTCTGTAATTAATCTAAGCCATTTAGAGGCCAGTTGAATCATAATTAACCGAAATCATACTATTGAACGAAGAATACATAAACGACTTATTTTGATGAGGTTGGAAGCGATCGATAAGAAGATATCAAACTACATTTCGTGCTAGTTGATTCATTCCACTAAGCCTTATTTGTGATTAGATTACCGGAGGTAAGACAAGATATACACACGAAGTATACTCATGATATAAATGAAATTGGTGTTATGGAATATCAAGTTTTTAGACAAGTTTGTCATGATAGCATAATGAAGAAACCCTACGATCTTTTCACTGTTTATTATCATATAAGTATTTTGACTAAGAAGTGTGTATAATGTAATTTCTATCAAAAGTCATAAACAAAATAGAACCTGGAATGTATTCGCATTGATTCAAGTTGCTATATCGAGTCACCACAACAAAAGGAAATTATCAAGATAAGCGTTGGTGTAGTAGAAGTATTAATAGTATCAGTGATAGTAGAAAAGATTAGGTAGAGACTTTCTGTGAACATGTCGCCGTTTGCTTATGACGATATACAGATATACAGATGATATAGATCAATTGAACGTTGACATCGTTGAATGCCAAGCTAGTAGTCTAGAGGTTGCACATTGATGAATGCCAACGGGGATCCACTCTAATAGTGCTTGTTCTGCCCTCATACTTAGTGCTATGCATACACCTGCCAGTTCACGGTAACTAACCATTGGGTCGCCAGATACACGAACGGTGTATCTCGTTGGCTCTTCGTTTTGTCAAGGTGAGGTCAAGTGAATGACCATACGAGGATCCTGTATGCGTGTTTCAAAAACATAGCATACATCAACCACGTGCTGCGTATGCCTAAACACCGATTACCACGACGCTCAGTGCTAACTAGTGTAGGGGATGGTTGGAAGAAAGTTAGGGGCGGTCAAACCAAAACGTGATATCAGTCCTTGAAGTCACTAACTTCTGTTCTGAGCCATGTTGGTTGGGGTCCGCTTGACTATCATAACCAATAGTTGGAGACTCTGGATGACATGGCTCAGAATCGATCACAGTGGCGTCGGCGTCGCTTCATATCTTTCTTTCTACCAACTAATTCTTTCTTCCTGTACTATGTCCTTATATGCATTCTTTATTTTATATGTTACCACCACTCAATTAACCACTTCTATGAATCCGGTGTCCATCTTGTTGTTTTAATGAGGTATGGCAACTTGAACCTATGCACACATGTGTCTGGTCCTATGTTGTAGCTGACTGACTGATACACACAGATGAGGAGCCCCATACTAGGATGAGACGGCCAACCAGTTCTTCTAGTTTTTCAATGATACTCTAACTTAGATCAGTTCATGATTTCAAGTCAAATAATCCCTTGAGGCTTCAGATATAATAAATATTTTAACTGTACAACATCAACGATTGTTAATGAGCAGAATTCATAGATCATTCATAATAACCAATATAAAAGTTATATTTACATACTTGTTTTACTTCAGTCTGAGAAGGCAGTCTATACTGATTCAATGTTTTCCTTGCTTCTCTAACCTCTTTATTATTATTATTTCGACAAATATTATAATCATCCACTTGTTCTGAAGCATTATGACTAGTATTCTCATGATGGAAATCATCAATTGTTTTTGTATGTTGATCTCCTTGAATATCTCTATCCTTTGACTTGTTATGATTATTATTATGATGATGATATTTAGAATGTTTAGTAAAAGTTCTTAATTGTTTATTGTTTATTTTAATATTTGAAGAATTGAATGATCTATGAAATGGAGACTTTGGTTGTCGATAATAATAAGAATATTCTGATGAATAAGGCATTAATGATGACGTAATAATTTGATGATGAAATTGTTTATTCTTTTGAGAATGTTTTCTTTTTATTGATTTTTTCTTGTTTATCTTTTGTTGATTATTTTGATTAGTCTGAAAATAATATAAAAATGTAAATAGTAGTTGGTTATTTTATTTATTTATTTACTTACTTACTTACTTACTTACGCCTATTACTCCTCGTGGAAGAGCATAGGTCGCCCACCACCATTCTCCATCCAATCCTGTCCTGATCAGCCCTTTCCAGCTCTTTCCAGTTGTTATTCATCCTTTTTATATTTGCTTCTATTTCCCGACGTAATGTGTTCTTTGGCCTTCCCTTCAGGATTCCAAGTTAGGAGTTGCCTCGTGATGCAGTTTGATGATTTGCGTAATGTGTGTCTTATCCATTTTCAACGTCTTTTCCTAATTTCTTCTTCAGTTGGAAGCTGGTTTGTTCTCTCTTACAGTAGGCTGTTGCTGATGGTATCCGGTGAATAGATGTTGAGTAACTTGCGTAGACAATTATTTATAAATACTTGTACCTTCTTGATGATGGTTGTGTTAGTTCTCCAAGTTTCAGCTCCGTATAGTAGAACTGTCTTGACGTTTGTATTTAAGATTTTGACTCCGATATTTTTTAATGTAATTAGTTGCAATTAAGAATGGGTGAACACATCTAAAATGGCTGCGAAAACAAATGAATTCCAATGGTCAAATAAGATCACAGGGTAGGCAAACATCTTCCTCTATTGCGAAACATTTGATTGAGACTGATTATAAGGTTGATATCAAGTCAGCGTTTGTAGTATTGTACAAGTCTTCAAGGATGTATACCAATGTTCATTGAAGCCTTGGCTATACGGAAACTAAAAAACCCTTTATGCATTCAAAATTAACCTACCCTGGTAATACTGACTTATTCTCCAGAGTGGTTATCACAATGCTTTTGTGTACTATATTTTTTTCTTTGTTACGGTTTACCTTTAACCTGTCTAGTTTACCTTTTAATTTTCATATAATAATGTCCTAACAAGTATATTATGTGTGATCAGATTGTTCCGAATGTATTGCATATAACTCTGATTAACTTCGTCTTCTCATTACATTATCGAAATTAATTAGTTGTGAAAATAAGGATAGTGGATAGTAGTGGAATCCAGGACGCGCGTTTCGTCCCATTTGGAACTGAGTTGATGTTCCTTCTGGGACTCAAACCCAGTACCATTCGCTTCAAACTCCATCTCATTATCCACTTAGCTACTGAATTCTGATAGCCACTTGCTTGTGGAATGGGGTGAGATGCCGGTACATCCAGCTGGCAAATCCCAAATAGGATAAAACGCGCGTTTTGGATTCCACTGCAAGCCACTATCCACCTTTGCTTAAAAATGATAGTGTTAAAGGTATTGAACGCTTAATTTTGTCCTTTTCGATTGAATATAATAGGAAAATTGACACTATACTTTAATCTTAACCCTAAACTACCAATCTTGAAACAAACTTTAACCTGGTGAAACTACATTTTATGGATGAGCTAAACAGATAGCGATTCTTGTATTTTTGAGTAAAATTCATTTTTACATTATACCTGATATCATTTCGTGGTGGAAACCCCAGCCCTAAACTTTTAATCCTGATCCTAAATACCTAACCTTAAGTAGAAACAATGTAGGGACTTAAAAATCCATTTGGGTCCTTTTTAAGGGTTCAAGAATATGGACAATCTATATCCATAAGGATGAGTTTATATGTTATTGTCTTTTTGATTTACAGGCATAGTAACCTATAGAAGAAAGCAATAGATTTATCGATTAGGTAAAATCCGTTCACATTTGCAATATTATTGTTCTCTTTTTCACGAACTATCCATTTATATAAGCTGCTTTCTGATTGGCTAAAAACTGGTTGGAAATTTGTCGCGGTTGTTTCAATCTCATTTCCATAGTATAATCATTGTTTAACAGTTAGGTCAGATAACTACTATAAAAAGGGGATAAGTTTCTATATCGTACGTATTGAATTACATAATTTAGTCTCAATTATAATTACCGTATTATTTGAGTAGTGTGTTTCTAAAAATTCTGATTTCTCTATTGATCTTGGACTGTTGATTACTAACTTAGATAGTATCGCTTCTTCTGAACGTTGTTGACGTTCTTCCTACAAAAAATATAAGGAAATTAGACGAAGTTCAGTAGGAATAAGAGTATTTTACATTAGATTGAAGAAATATATATTTATTATACGGGGATTCATGGAGCTTGTAGAATTTTCATGTTTTAAATCATGAATTAATTTCAATTAGACTAGCATTTGAAACCTGGAAGCACTGAATAACCGTTTTGTTTTAGTATGGGATTCCCTAACAGTGTGCATCCATGACACCGCACCCGGGACTCGAACCTAAAATCTTCAGTCTTGCATGCAAAAACGCTGAACTCTAAGATCACTGACCTGGGACCCAATGGTTTTAATGTTTAACCTCAATCAGTTCACAGTCTTGCGTAACTTTTCATCCATTCCCTGGGGTAAAATTCCATCTTACACGCAGCCTGGCTCAATTGTCTAGAGGTTAAGCGTTCTCGTGAGAGGCCGAAAATCCCAAGTTTAATTCCTGTGCACTGTTGAGAAGTCCCACATAAGGACTGAAAGGTCGTCCAGTGCTCCTATACTTTCGATGTTAGTCTAGCTAAGATCAGTACGAGATTAAAACTGTAAAATTATAAATATTTGTCTACGAAAAATCAACTCGTATGAAGATTTGTACCATTTCTTAAGATTTTATATATAATTAGCACACTTAGACCAATATATACACATGTAACTACATCATGACTACGAAGGAACCAAAGTCATGTTTGTCTAGTCCGTCTATAATTGATTGGTTTCTATAGACCAATTTTCAGTGTAGCTATTAATTTAAGCGACTCGACAGTGCGTGTATTATGTTTTAAGCTTACATGATGGTTTTAATCAATCGGTGAGACCATCCAGACCTAGATTTTGTGCTAGTTAGAACTTGTCAACAAGTTGTATTTGAAAATCTTGAGATGGATTTTACAGCAAAATCCAAGACCTGCTATTTTAAATTTGATTGGTTCGTTCATAAATTACAGTCTCACCGGCACAGTTGAACTTGACTAGTTGCTTGATTTGATTTTGAATGAGATCGTGGATACGTACTGGGAGGGAGTCTCATAATAGGACAAAATAGTTGTCTAGTGATTGTCTAAATAAGATCAGTCAGTAATGTAGACTATGAAATTCAAAAATCTTAATGAACCCTCTACAATAACACCCATATTTATTGAACAATATTTGTAATTTTCATTCTAAAACAATCAACAAAGCTATCTAACACATTCCTTGTAAAAATGAAATTTACATGACAGTATTTTAGAAGGTATCTTCATAATCTTTCTAGAAATACCAGCCTTTCTAATTTATAAATGATCAACTCTTGATGGCATATTCATTAAGTCCTACCTCGGAAAGAATCGATGGGAATTGGGAAAAATCATACAAAGATTAGGAAGAGTTTTGTACAGAGTTTGAGGAACATTTGGCACATATATCTTACTTACTTACTTACTTACGCCTGTTACTCCCAATGGAGCATAGGCCGCTGACCAACATTCTCCAACCCACTCTCTACTGGGCCTTCTTTTCTAGTTCCATCCAATTCTTGTTCATTTTTCTCATGTCTATCTCCATTTCTCGGCGTAATGTGTTCTTTGGTCTTCCTCTTTTCCTTTGGCCTTGAGGATTCCATGTGAGGGCTTGTGTTGTGACGCAGTTGGGTGCTTTCCTCAATGTGTGTCCTATCCACTTCCAGCGCTTCTCCCTGATTTCTTCCTCCGCTGGGATCTGGTTTGTTCTCTCCCACAGTACGTTGTTACTAATAGTGTCCGGCCAATGGATCTGAAGTATTTTGCGTAGACAATTGTTAATAAACACCTGTATTTTCTGGATGATGGTTGTTGTAGTTCTCTATGTTTCAGATCCATACAGTAGAACTGTCTTGACATTTGTATTGAAAATCCTGATCTTGGTGTTGGTTAACAGACAGTTGTTTTGAGTTCCAGATGTTCCTCAGTTGTAAATATGCTGATCTTGCTTTGCCGATCCGCGCCTTCACATCTGCATCAGATCCACCCTGTTCGTCAATGATGCTGCCCAAATACGTAAAGGTTTTTACATCTTCCAAATCTTCTCCGTCAATTGTGATTGGATTAGTGCATTCTGTGTTGTATCGGAGAATCTTGCTTTTCCCTTTGTGTATATTGAGACCTGCTGCTGCTGAGGCTGCTGCCACACTGTTCGTCTTCTCCTGCATCTGTTGTTGCGTTTGGGATAGAAGGGCCAGATCAACTCCGCCTGGAGCCCCTCTGGGGGCTACTGCCGGTCCCAAGCCCGGATAAAGGAGGAGGGTTGGGCATGGGGTTAGCGTCCCCATCCCGTAGAAAACTAACTCGCTAAAAAAACGCTAACCAGAAAAAACGGCACATATATCAGACACACAATTTTATTTATTTATTTGAACACATAAATATTGGTGCAAGGAGGCACCAGATACACAAATCTGACAAGATTTGTGTGAGGGCTGGGATACTGCTCGGGTGCCCAGACCGAAACAGGTGGTTTTATTAGGAAGTCGCGACCAGAGCCTTCGACCTAAATGTCTAAACCATAAGGCAGTGGGGAAACGTAAGCAGATACAGTCCCATGGTGGCCGTTGACCAACGATTGGTTAATACGCCATTTGTTTCTTCAGGATACTGGAGAACATGTGCACAATTGGTTTGGAATCAGGGTTTTCCAACTCCCCTGGATAGACTATCCGTGTCCACGAACTCGTTTAAAGCACCGGACATTCTCTTTTCGTCCTCTCAATTTCGTGAACACCCGTGGCGTAAGAATGCAACGAGTAGGACTTCCCTGACAGTGGTTACATGCACGGGCCATTTGAGAGCATTTGAAGAGGTAGATCTAACTCTCCTCCACTCTCGGCAGACACACAAACCAAATCCTTAAAGATAAACGAATGATTCACACTCAAGATATTCAGCTGAATTTTTCACTTCAATTATCAACGACACAGATGCCCAAGAATATTGAAAGGAAGACTTGGATAAGAAAGACAACGAACAAAATAGAAGATCCAGATACATTAATTTTTAGTGAAATGATAATACACATTTCATTTTGTAATTTATAAATGATCAACACTTGATCTATTTACAATCTTCTCTTTCAAATAAAATATTTAATATATTTGATATAATGCTTGTGATTTAAGAAATATTACTTATAATTTAATAAGAATGAACTCATGCAGAGATGCACCTAATACAAACGTAAACAAATACAAGGTTTATCTCATTCTCTCTCTCGTTTCTTCTTTTTATTTCGAGAGAGAAAAAAATTTATCTCAGGATAAAATGCTGATGATAAATCTCAGCTTAGAAATTCTCCTTAAAACAATTTTATAGCTGAATTCATGAGTCGATTGAAGTTAGACCACCATGGAAAACCTGGAAACATTGGCAGGCCGTTTCGTTTTAGTATATGACTCTTCAGCAGTGCACATCCACGATCCTGCCTCTCGAGATTCAAACCCAGGACCTATCAGTCTCGTGCGCGAAAATCTCAACCCCTAGACCATTGAGCCAGCCGGCATCCAACGATGTTAATGTCTAACTTCAACCAGTTCACGAAATTGAGCCACCGTCCATCATTGTCTTCAGTGAGTTACTATCTCACAACAAACCCGGTTGAACTCCACTGGTCACGGCTTCAGTTGTTAACGTTTAATAGACTTTTTTTCTACAGTGTATAGTATAGAATGATTGTTTGGAATTATTGAGTAATCAGTAGTATCATCTACCAGTAAATGTCTATTTCAATAAAGTAAGATTGGTACCAGAGAGAAGAGTGAATAGAAGTGAATATTCAATGTATTTTCAAATTATGTTCCCAATCAGAAGATATAAGTGAGAGATTGTGATAGTGAAACACAACGCCTTATATTTTGTCACAGAGAGTATTGTTTGAAAATGATTATCATTATTAATCAATCTAAATATACCGGCCTCATAAGAAACCAGTCGCAGTAGAACAGAGTAAAGGTAACGCCTTAGACTATGACGATGCATAACACAAGGTCGAATCCTACATAACGCATCAGTTTCTTCAAAACTGCAAGGACTTGTTGCCGAAGAGTGACCACGAGAACAAAATTTATTTCGGTGGTTTCCTGATGAATAATTCTTCATTTCTACCATTTTTGAACTATTGTGATAAGAGGCCATCTGATTTTCGATATTGTTACAAACTTTTTCTACACAAGAGCTCAACCTGCTACTTGAGTCAGAAGACCAAGAGTGAACAGGAAAATGTATTTGTTAATCAAATACAATATATGCACAAACTCATCCGTTAACATAAGTGTGTCCTTAGTTTAATTCAGCCAAATTTTTAATTACTGGCGTATATCTGTCTTCCTCGGAAGATAAAGCCAAATACTGACCAATAGGGTGGCCTCATCAGAGACTCTCATCTATCATTTGACCTTGAGCTGATGTTTGGGTGGTCCAACCTATTAGGAACCTATAGAAAATCATGTGATTGGAAAGAACTAGTTGACACTACTTTGAGGCCACTCAGTACTGAGCTCCTTTACATCCTGACAAAATTTTGTCTAGATCACTTTGACTTTTCAGTTAGAATGATACTATTAAGTATATATATATATATATATAAGATGAACGTTTAACTAGGTTGACTAGGCTTATACTGCCACTCACATATACATCTATTCACTATATATTCACAGTTTATCAGTTAAATTGAGTACATCATTTATATTCTCTCGGTTTATTCTACATTTAGTCTTTTTATACCACCGCTGTACAATGGGATTAACTGAAGTATTGAACACGAAATCAAGTAAGGAATTACATTTAAATGGAGTTAACTCGGGGTTTTAAAGTGTCTTTATTATTTTAAGAAATATTGCTTATATCATGTATTACCAAGAGCAGTTTAGTCAGATTGAAGATATAAAAATCACACCCTTATATAAGTCCAAAATGTGTTTCTGATTTTTTTTAGACGTGAAATACATATGATCACTAACAGATGTATTAATCTAAACGAAGTTGTCCAAACCTTGGTAACGAATGAAAATATTCATAGAACTTTCCAAGTATCTATTATCGTTTAACAATTACACTCATATATATCCTGTATTAAAGAGGATCTTTAAGGTGTTTTATATGCTCAATCAATATCCTCTTGTTAATTCAATAAGGCCTTTTATAATGAACGTAGGAAGTAAATAAATGTGCTTTAGTCCAAGTTCACAAATACAAAATCAGTACGATGAGATGAAATTTACAGGAAGAATAGGAAACAAGTTGAGAACCTCGTTGAAGAATCCTAATCATAAAAAGTAATCTAAATCATTTGAACTCTGCACTGGGAGTTATGATGCTTGATGGTGAGAGCCGAGATTCTTCGTGAGCCACAAGGCCAATGTCTTTTTGGCAGCCAGAGTAACATTTAATTTCAGTGAGCGAAACGTCCACATAATGTAAGACCGAGAGGATCATTCGAATAGCCGAAGAAGTGAGAGTTACAAAAGAACCACACTACTAAGCCTCACTATGCAAAGTTCTCAACTGAGTGTTGCGAAACCAAATGAAATAATAACTGGACGCCTCAGTTCATGATCAGCAAGCTGGCTTCCTAAGAATTAGCCTTGTGCTAACCAAATTACAGCACTACGGATCACTGCTGAACAATTAGTTGGATAGGATTTATAGCTATGCATTGCTTTTTTCCCCTAGTTAGTGCTCTATGCCTTAAGAGGAGTAGCAGGCGTAAGTAACCAAGTAAATAAGTCTGTTTTTAACCGCAATATGTCGAACAATACAAACATCTTATGAAAGCAAGAAACCAAACATTACTTCTTTGTAATATTTATATTTTATTGGTGTGGAGAAATGTTATGAGTCTATTCTTTAGTAAAAATAGTACAAAAAAACACGAGCAATATTTTTACAAGCTTTTTATCTGTATGCACTCATCGCATTTTCAATGTTCACAATACTACTAACAGAGACACATGATACGAAAATTATATGCTATCTTTGATCAACACCATCAAGAGAGGATAATAAATTCCCTAACTACATGGTACTATTCATACGTCGACACAAAATCAATACAGTTATATTGAAAGCATTCCAAGCAGTTAAATATACTTTATTAGTACCTCATACAGTACAAAAAGGCCAAATAACTATGAAAGTAAGGCTTGATAGAATTTAAATTCCATCTTGATAAAAGCTAATACTTAGCTTCCGTGACTTAAATTGATATATCTTGCGGTCATATAAACCCTGTATGTAAAGTGAAATCAAGAAACATTATCTTAGATGAAGTTAGGTTGTAGAGAACACGCAGATACAAGTAAGACGACTGCTGGTACAAAATATGGATTTTTAGTGACAAAGTTCGTATGCTCAGTTAAACGAATTTTTTCGTTTATATGTATCAGACACTACATGGTGTTAGTTACAATATATCGAATGTAAAACTGTTCTATAAAACTGAAGTGGATAAATGAATTAAAAAATTGAACTCACTCTCAACCGCTTAACTCTGTTTAAGCGACATAATTCCTCTAAATCCCTTTGTAATTTTCCCTGGCGTAAACGTTCTACTTCTAGTGATTTTTCAACCACAGCATGAGCAATAACTTCTAAAAAGGCGCGTTTTAGACTTTCACGAATTTTTGTCTCTTTATATTCCGATTCCGGTATGACTTCACCATTCTCTGTAATCTAAAAGCGTAACACTAACAACATAAGGGATTCGTAGTATATAAAATGCTAAAACAATTGTAACTACAAATCGGAAAACACACTTTCAGTATTATGTAATTAAAATCCCGAAAACTGATAAAAAGTCATCGAATAATTCAGATTATGATTAGAAATTTATCAAAAATACCCATTTAACCTTTAAGTTACAAAAAACGGCGAAAAACGTTAACACATAAAGATAACGTTTTTAACAGCATTGAATCACTGTGAAAATAGCTTGAGAAGCCCTTGATAATAAATACTAGTTAAATTAGATACTTATATATTTTGGGGGAAAGAGATAGATTGTAGTTAGCAATGGAATCCAGAATGCTAGTTATGTAATATTTAGGATGTATTTAAATCTTAGTTTTTTATTTTAATCGGGGATTTAATTACGGCATCTTTTGCTTCAAATGCTAAGCACGTGCTACACATAATTAGTGAGCTTAAATAGTCACCTACTTTTGCAGCAGGTACAAATCCGACTTCTTTGTAAGTCTTTTGAGTTATCCCGTCGCTGATATTCTTGACTGAATTATGATCAGTCTTAGTCGAAATACGTGCATACTATGCAAATTACTTTAATGTAGCCACTTTGTCACTAGCCTTAAAGAATATAACTGTTGCAATAGCTGCTAAATGGATTCAGTAGCTAGGTGAATAATGTGTTTAGAGTTTCGAGAGAAATGTACTAGGTTTGAATTCCAGAGTAAACATTAACTCTGGGATTCAGGTACATCTCAAATATTACCAAACGTGCTTTCCTGATTCGACTGATAACCACCATTCATCTCTCTCATACAACTTGTGAAGAAGCGACCACATAAAAGAAACCCACACAATATGCACATATTCCAATTAAGACTAACCAAAATTTAGTCAAGAATAATAATAACAGGATAAATCAAAAACATGTACAAGTAAAATAAATCGAGAAGACTATAATTTATGGATGAACTAATCAGTTATAAAAAAACAGACCTCGGATTTTGGAGCGAAATTCACTCGTCCATCTGGCCAAATAGCGTCTTGGCATTTTAGCTGATTATTAAAGATTCCCATTGTGAAAATTAGAACAACACATATAAGCGAACAATTGTTTTCAATTAGATCGTCATCAGGCTTTACTCTAATATACATGGATATTTATACGAAAATTTTAAACCAATCAAGGCAATATGAGTCAATAATCACAATGAAATAGAATAAGTCACTACACATAAAATAGGTAAAAGTACAAGTTGATAGTACGAAGACAGGTGAACAGATAGTGGTAAGAATAATAAACTATAATAACAAAACTCTTATCAATAGTTAATCGTTGGAAATAGAAGGTCAATAAACATGGGTAAATAGACTAGGAATAGTAATCACAAAACCTTAAAAATCATTACGTAATAAGATGTGTGTAAATAATTAGATAGTGAAGAATACAAAGAGGCGGATAATGACAAACAAATAATGGATGTGGAAATAAGGTTAACAATAACACAAATAGAATAAAATAAATAATGATAATAATAAAATTTAAAATAAAAATAAAAAATAAAAAAAAATTGTTAGTTAAGTTATAACTGGCCATGGAAGGGATAGGGGAGTCACGTATTTCTTCTGTACACATAGATTGGGGTTATATGTACGAATTCCAATGGCTTCAGCTATATATAGGAGACGGGAACGGACTCCGTCGGGAAATGATGGAGGTATACGATAGATAACTCGAAATGATTTCGATTTCTCTACTGTATGACCGCTATCAATAAGATGTGCTAGTATAGAACTCCGAATAGTTTTTCTCTGACCCTTTATGTACCAAGTTGGTAAATGTTCACTCATTCGTTGGTTAAGTTGCCTGGTAGTACGCCCTATATAGCTATCTCCACAGGAGCAGCTGAATTTGTAAATGCACATGGAAGAGGCCAACTCAGGTAACTTATCCTTCGTTTGAGTAGACATCGCTGGACGACAAGAGAAGGTCAACGCAAGATTGGCTGCGTAGAATGTCTTGGTGATTACTTTGGTTAACCTATATTTCAGAGTGTCACTAGCCACATCCCCGTTGAATTGCACTTTCATGTATAAAGGTTTCTTACGAACAGTCGAAATCTCCGACTTCTTTATTATATCCTGCATGTATTTCTTGATGAACGCGCTGGGGTAGCCGATCTCGGTCAGTGAGTTGTTGAGAAATTCAAGCTCCTGACTTAAAGTGTCTACTGTACAGATCTTTTTTGCTCTGCTCGTGAGACATCTGACCAAATTTCTCTTGTACCGGATGGGTGTGAAACTGCAGAAGTGAGTATATTGGCATGAAGAGGGGTTTCTTCTATACACGCTTCTACTTAATGTGCCGTCACTTCGTCTGCTTAGCGTGACGTCAAGGAAGCTCAGCTTCTTATCATGCTCGCTTTCACCAGTGAAGGTGATCGCTGGGTGAACACTGTTGAATTGGTCTAGGAGTTCCTCTTTACTAGTGTTTTGGTCTACGATAATGAATGTGTCGTCAATGTATCGACAATATAAATCCAGTTTCTTAATAGTCTCATTGAGAGGTCCGTTTTCTAGCTTTGCTAGGAAGAGGTCAGCTAAAATCGGGCCTAGAGGCGAGCCCATGGCTATCCCGTCTATTTGTCTATAGTAAGTATTGTTGAAGACAAAATGTACATTCAGAGTGCATCTTAGGAGCAGTTCCCTTAGGCTATCGTTAGGCAGGCCAATGTTGATTTGTTTCTTTGATATTTGCTTGCATATAAAATCAATAGTCTCTATAAGTGGTACGTTGGTGAACAAAGATTCTACATCCAATGAGATCATATTTTTCATGCTTACATTAATATTTTCTACTTTGGAGATGAAGTTGAAGACATCTTTTACACTATTTGTAACAACTGATTTGTGTAAAGGTTCTAGGATTCGTACTAGCCACTTAGCGATTTTGTGGTAAGGAGAATTGTACATATCTAGAACTGGGCGTAGAGGAAGACCCGATTTATGTACTTTAGGCAAACCATACAATCGTGGTGTGAATGATCCAGTCGGCTTAATTGAATCGTAAATCTCAGTCGTAATTATTCCCTTTTTCGTTAGCTGATGTCAGTTTGTGATGAAAACCCGAAAATCTAATTCCTAACATTAACCATCAACTGTGAATCATAATCCTTATTCTTCGAAATGATTTATAACCCTCATTTAGCCCTAGTAAGTAGGTAGACACTCACAAGGTCACTTTGGCGTCGCTCAAAGGTCATTCATAAATTAAAGTCTCACCAATAAATCTGCATTAAAATTTAGTAAACTCAGGAGCAATCGCCTTTATCTTGACTTGGAGAAAAAGCCGCTCGAAAATGTGACGAAATTGTTGGAAGATTACGTTTTACTTCTATATCATTTTGCAAGTGCGTCCTTTTTGCAATATAAAAACCACCTATCTTTGTATAATATCCATTCAAGTCGACCAGTTATCAGAATTTAGAAATAAATCGGTTGTTACAAATAAATGTGGCATGTGAGAAACGTTTGAAAGGTGTGGTTATCGTTTATACGAGTAAAAAAATAGCATGCTGGATTGATTACATATTTTAAAGTCACCTTGTCTCACTTGTAAAATTTTACCAGATATTAACAGCTTAACTCTAATGTCGGACTTCTTTAACAGGGACAAAATCTATGTGCAATCATATAACAGCTCAATTTGCTGCAAAATAATGAAATAAGAAAGTGGTTATCTGAATCATAAGAACTTGAGTTACCTAAATAACTTAGGTCACACAAACACAATAAATGGATATCTGTCTTATTATCGACTTGTGTCAAAATCAGGAGGTGCATCACAACAAAATAAAAAAATGATATTTTGTAAACTTACTAGTCCATTGTTTATAAGATGCCGTCTCATCCGAGATGTAGAAAAATAGTTTACCAAATGTTTGTCCGTGAGGCTATTATATGCCTCCAAAAAGCTGTAAAAGATTTAGAATGTGGATTAAAATATTTGAAATCGAAGCCAACTATCAAAATTTCACTACAAAGTTAACAAACCTAGCTTTACTCTTCACAGGCATTTCATTCCTAATTAAAACTTTTCAAAGCCGTCGTCAAGGAGAAAAGTCAGGTTCGGCAGTGCATTAAAACCTTAATTCAAAGATCAATTTATCAGTTTGCAAAAGTCAGGAACCTGGGGAACCTTTAATAATCTTGACAAAGCTCATCTCTCACAAGATCCGGTTCTCTTTTAAAAGCATCTACAGAAAGAACTTGCATCACATCAGCATGTGATGGATTTCGCTTGTTGATTATTCGATGGGAAAGTTGATAGTCTTTCGCTAATTGACACTGGGATATAGATATATTAAAACATATACTTGAGGTATCCGCGGTGAAACTCGTTAGTTTCTCTAGTAACTTAGGGTGCATTGCACTGGATACCGTGGATTCACCTATATCAAGCTTACTTAAGAGACTGAAGACATCGAGTTCTTTAATGTTCACGTTGTGCAGAGTGTATGTGTGGAGGTTTGTATGAACTGGAAGGGAGATTTCTCTACGATATGTACATTGCTAAAGTAATTCGAGAATGCCTGAGTCTTACCATAGTCGGCCTCCACCAATGATGAAGAATTACTACCTCCCCATAATGTTGGAATATTTCCTATTCTCTTAGTCCTTTGGTTTATGTACGATTATAGCCATTTTGTATATTCTGTAGACTACCTAACAAGATTTTCTACATTCAATCTTCCAGGTTTGCGGAGGGTCGAATCACAAATATTTCGAGCTTCTTGACATTGAGAATTTTTCTCGTCAGTACTCAGTAAAGCAAGTATCTCCTGAATTGTTCTCCTCTTACTCAGAAAGCTGCGAACCTCTTTACTGAATCATGGTGGGGTGTTTATAGGACTCGTTAGTGCAATTCGAAAGATATGAGGTGCAGTGACTTTTCAAATTCAAAGCACAGAAGTTTTATAGCCTATGTTTCGATGTTTCTATGAGTGTCTTGTCTTCTCTTGAATGTGTCAACTGAAGGTGCGGACACATCTGCTTATTGTTACAGGTTTCGAGAATTAATGATTCGACGTTAAAACCTGTATGCCATGGGTATTTTGTTCGTTCTTCACGTTTCTAACCGCATAGTATGTCCTTTGAGATGTCCCGATCTAGTGGGAAGGAAAAGAGAGAATATATATAGCGTCCAAAATCATTCCTAAGTATTCTACACATCAAAATAAAACCACCTCTTAATCTGCGATAGGACAGAGTAAAGAAGTCTAGCTTTTCACTCCGCTCTTTGCATGGTAAACCCAGTTCTGGAATTGCACGAGCGGCTGCCCTCTGTAGTTTTTCCAAAATATACGAGTTACTTTTTAAACAGGATCATGCAGTCTGAACAGAGTTTTCAAGCTTAATTCTCACTAAGGTTGTGTATACTTTATTGAACGTAGTAGTATCTATTTTGGTTAATGTCGGTCTTAAACCCATAGGGTTCCAAACCCCTTAGTTACAACCTCTCAGCAGTGGACTGTGGTCTTAAGATCATGAATCACTGTCACTCCAAGAACCTTGTGAGACCAGACCACGGGTACACACACTTCCCCCTGTTGTACCTGTTTACTTTTGTATCTTCAAAATTCATGTAGACATACTTGGCCGCGTTGATAGCCATCAGCCACTCTTTAGACAAGCTAATCACAATATCTAAGTCTGGTTGAAGTGCTCAGGTATCTGCCTCTCCTTTTACTTCTCGCCAGATTTTTACATCATCAGCGTATAGCAGCAATGGGGACTCAACTATACTTGGGAGTTCATGTACACACAGTATGAAAAGCAAAGGACCTAGGATAGAACCTTGAGGTACTCCATTAATTACTGGTTTCTAGGTGGAGCACTTGAAATTTATTCTTCTTTTCTGTTTGCGACCTACCAAGAAATCTTTAAGCCATTTTAGGAGAGGTCGGTCAGTGCCAGGGCTTTCCAGCTTCAAGAGCAGTTTTGTTAGCACCTTATCAAATGCTTTGCTGAAATCTTGATGGGCAACGTTCACTGATTTTCCATTGTTTAGAGCCTTTATCTATTGCTTCCTTGCTATGAAGAGTTTATGGGTATCACTACCAAGGTTTGATTTGATAATTTTGAATAAATTGGGCACTTCTGAAGAAGTGACTTACACTAAGCCACGAAACGTCAGAAAGTCTCATTTTTCTACTCATTGGGATACTACAAATATACTATTTATTTCTATAAAGAGGTTTGTTGTTCGGGGTAAACCTTTTCTGAAATCATGTTGTTCGACGTTTGATAGGTTATTGTTTTCCAAGAATGTCCTTACGGTCTTTTTGAGTGTTCTTTCTAGTATTTTAACTACTATGCTGGCGAGGCTGACAGGTCTGTGATTCGATGAAAGTCGTCTTGGTCCTGTTTTTTCTATTGGAGTGACGGTTGTATCCTTTCAGTTCGTACGTAACACACCTCGGCCAAGTGATATATTGAAGTACACAGTTAGTAGGGCTGCAATATATTGTGCAATTTGTCTCGAGATTTCAAGGTGCAGTTGACTTTCCGTGTCTGAAATGATAAGAGCCTTAAGTACATCGTCTTGATGAAAGTTCATGGTTAGCAAACTGTTTGTCGACTTCGTATTTGGGTTTAGTTCTTCGTCTAGGAGAGGCCCCCGAGTGAACACTGCACCGAAATAGTTTACCATAGCCCCTCCTTCTTCCTGATCATACTCTACCATTCCAAGTTCACTGCATTCCGTAATTAGGTTTGTAATCCAATGCTACATCCTTGTTCTGTAATTTATGCATGAGAATAGTTATTTAAACGACTTGGTTACAGATTTTGCCAACAGCGTTTCACATATTCTCTAAGCCTCCCGGATTTTAATTTTACACTTATTTCTTAACGACCTGTAGCGTTCCATAATAGCTGCTGTGTCAAGGCTGATGACCTACCTATAGACGTAGCCTACATTGACATCAGAAAGGCTTTTGACAAAGTACCTCACAACCAACTGTCAAATAAGCTTGGTAATATCGGGATCGGATGTAATTCATTGATGTAGATAAAGGACTCCGTAGTTGGGCGTCAGCAAAGAGTACAAGTGAACTCGAAGTTTTCTAGCTTGGAAACTGTGCTCATCGGAGTGTTTTGGGGACCAGTGTTGTTCTTGTTGTATGTAAATGGCCATCCTCGTCTCCTATCATCATCGGTCTTATATATACCTCAAATTTGGCAATTGCCGACAAATGCTTCCAAGTGCATTATGATGCATATTGGTCATCAGACATGTGTTGAGATAATGGATTCCATTCGTTGAGATTCAACGGGATAGTCAATGGTCAGCTGAAATTTAGATACCTGTTGTCCAGGAACACAATAACTTGGGAGTCATCGTTAGCCAAAACTTTAAAACTACTGCACACTACTGTGTGACAGCCACCAAAGGTTTTAGAACCCCATGGTAAATGCATGCGATCTTTATCCCTGTTGACGTTAAAACCTTTTTGACTTTGTATACAGTATTCGTTGTTCTTAACTGTGATTGTACTGTGAGTGAATTCAAACCAAATCTAAAAATATTTTGATTTGACTGCTTCTGATATGCCTTACGAATTGTCAAGGTGACGCAGCAAGCGTTTCACGACCTTTTGACCTTCAAGCGCTCAGTAACCTTCATAGTGGTTGAACCACTGAAGCGTTGCTTAACGAGTTAAACTATTTGCCTCTAGTTTCTGTTCCAAGATTGTTTGAATCTGAGTCTCGTGTTACTACAGATTGCTGTCTATTAGTTCCCGTAGTAAATGTTAGCGTATTGTTTGTTTGCTGGGTCGTCAACTCACCTTTTTCCTTCCTTTTCCAGCCCTCCTCACTCACGTTACTTTACATGCTCTCCTACTACACAAAGTGATTTCTCACTAGACACAAACCTCTACACGACTTTCTATTTTAACGTAAGGGATTTTGTTACGGAAGCACATGCGTATGTGCATAAGTTGGATTATGATTTTCGAGTGGTCTAGCCTGAGACCACAAATAATCTTATAAATGGCTTCATGCACCCTGTCATTTATTTCACCACTTCCCGTGGTTATTGCCTTCAAACAAGCAATATATGAAAGGATTGTGTCGATTTTGAGAATGAGTTTATTCACCTCTCCATTGGCTTAGGCACACTGGTATCATTTCAGTAATAAGGATAGTAGGTTGGTGAACCTGTGTTAATCCTGACAGATTGCCTTCCGGTGAAGGCCCAGCTTCTCCTTGAAAATATTCACTGATGGGGCTGATACCACATGTTCGGGCAAGGCGTTCCAGTCATTGACTACTCGATGCGAAAAGTGGGACCCCACTTTAAGTTTATTAGGTCGCGGTTTGTAAACCTTCTTGCCATGACCTCGGTGATTATTAGTGCTGGAGGAAGCAAAAAGGTAAGACATTAGCACCCAAATCATAATTAAAGATACGAAATGCCAGTATAAGGTCACCTCGCGTCCTACTATACGACAAGGGGAAAAGGTTTAGGCGTTTTAAACTCTCATCGTAAGGGAGTTTAGAAAGACTCTTCACTGATTTCGTTCCCACACGCACAACTGAGTTTGCATCCTTTACCAGACATGGGCTAGCTGCTTGGATACAGTACTCTGAATGTGGTCTTACATAGGTGGGATATAAAATTCGAAACATTTCCTCGTCAAAAGATTTGAACGCTCGGCGAAGTAACCATAACGCACGAAAACCTTTGACAGCGGCTGCGTTGCTATGCTTAGTTGTTTTTAAGTCATGACTTATTATTACTCCTAAGTCTATGTTCTTGAAAGCATGAAAGAGGTTTACCATCAGTAGTATAATGGTAACTATTACCGTGACCGATGTTCATTAGCACACTCTTCCTAGAATTCATTTCTAAGCCCCAACCTTGAGCCCATCTAACTAAATCGTCTAAGTCAACTTGGAGATCCAAATAATCAGCCTCACTTTTTATTGTTCTCCAAACATTACGTCAACCGCAAACAATTATTTTGACGACCTAAGCAACAGCGGTAACTCGTTAACATAGAGAAGGAAGAGCAGAGGACCTAAGATGGTGCCTTGGGGTACGCC